AACGCAGGCAGGCGCGAAGCTTTCTAATCTCACTGGCCTGCTTACGCTGCTCAGGCAGGAGAGGACCCTTTCTGCGGCCAACCTTCTTGACCTCTGTGCCATCCTTCTTGCCGGTTGAAGTGCGGCGAATGACGGCCTTGGTGGCCTTGCCGGTGACCGGGCTGCGTCTCTGGCCCGAGTTTCTCCGGGCGGTAGTGAGGATGGGAGGAGACGTGGCGCCGGAGCCGCTGGCGGGAGTTGGCCGGGTCGGTGTGGTCGTCTTGATAGGCATGGGAGCAACGGCAGCTGCAGGGCTGACTGTGTCGTGGTTGTGAACGTGGGCATGAGCGTGTGCGTGAGCGTGGCTGTGGGCATGAGTGTGGTTGTGGTTGTCTCCGAAGCAATTGCGGTGAGATCCGGCATCGACATATCCGTCAGATTCGGGGGAGAAGGGAGAGATGGGGAAAGGAGCAATCTCCTCATAACTGCCGAGTTCAAATGAATTGGCGCCGTCAGACGAATCCGAGTTGGTTCTCAAGTGAAGCGTCTGGCCGGGGTTGAAGATTGCCGCATTGGGCTGTGCCTGTTGAAAGTGGTCGAATCCTGCTCCAGAGCCCTGCTCAACAACCATTGACCACCCCTCTCCATTGCCAGTGCTCGGCAGGGACAGGACCTCGAGGAAGGTACCCGTCGGCGAATTGCTGCCGATGCTATGTGACAGACCGTCAATTTGCAACGCTGAGGCAGCGGCCTGGATGTCGTGCCAGCTCTCCATTCCCAAGCTCCAGTTCATAGCCGGAACAGTGTCGTCCATGGGCGGCATGGTGTTGAAGGCGGATGCGAGTTGAAAGTTTGCGGCCTGCAGCGCCTGGGTCGTGGCGGGGAGGAAGTCGATGGGATTTGTCTGGAAGCCCGGGGCATATGGGTTGTATGTTACGGGCATGTAGGCGTCGGAGACATATTGGGAGTAATCGGGCAATCCATGAGGGGTCTGCTGTTGCTGATGCTGATGTTGTTGCAAGGCCCAGTCGGTCAATGAGTTGACCGGTTGTTGATATGGTGAATGATGCGAGTGCTGGCTCAAAGGTGAGGAGCTGTGTGAGGGCGAGTGGGCTTGCTGGTCCTCGGGAGGACTCGAGGCTGCGACATTCGAGGTCATATCCAAGGGAATGGGCCAGATCCTCTGAGCGGGCATGTTGGTGACGCTCTGGGGGCTGTTCTGGGATGAAGGGATTTGCGAGGCATAGGAAAACCGGTCCCGCTGGTCGAAGGAGGAGAGGTCCAAGAGGGCGTCGCCTCCACTCGTATCGAAATTGACGTTCATGTTGGGTAAGATCAGTCGTGGAAAAAGGACCAACAACGGATAGGTGTAAGTCGAGAAACGGGAGTTGGGGCAGAGATATGGCCTTTTTCCCCAGGACACCGCTCTTTCGTCGGGGTGAGGGTGAAGTGGATGAGGGGAGCAAAAGACCTTCGCTGCGGCGACAAAGGTTTTGGGGGGAGGATGAGGTGGGTAGGAAGAGATTCGGGTGGTGAGAAGGGCGAGAGACTTGGTCGGGGGCCCCAAAAGCGGGCATGCGTGGGTGAAGAGGAACGACGACGAGCCCGCGAAAGAAGCGGTGAGAGATGCAGTTGAACCTCCAGCCCCGGCCGGGAGCAAGAGCCAATGAACGGGGCGGCTGCTCCTTCTGCAGCTGCACGAGTGTGGAGCGGAGACGACCGGGGGGTGTCGCTCCAAAGTTACGCCAGTGGGAAGGAGGGTTGGTGGAGGGTGGATTGCACTTGCACTTGCACTTGCACTGGGGCAGCTACAGGTAGGTGCTCCGTACCTTCTTAGGACTGGCAAGAACTGACAAGAGGGTACGGAGTACTTGGGTGACTGGATGGAAGGTGGGAAGCTGATACTTTCTGGATGGGAAAGAACTGGACCGCTGGACCATTGGACCATTGGACCCATCATCCATGAAAGTGGGTCGGATGGCTGCTCACGAGGACCACTTTGTAACTCGACTCCATCCAATCACCCCAGCCGCCTCCGTGTGGGTGAGACTGTACATCATCCTCCTCGACACTGTATTTTGCAGGCTGGACCAAAGTGTTGGCGGGTACGGATAGTAAGAAACAGTGGGATGGGCGAGGATGAGCGGGTTGTAAAACATGTCGCTAAACACCTTTTTTTCCCTGGCTGGAGCCTCCTCCAGCTGTCTACGGATACTTGTGTCTGCCCCCATCATCTTAGTACTGCAAACCCTGACTGACCATGGGCGAATGGCTGGAAATCGATATTGGACGGCGCAGAAAGCGAGACGTGGTTGTAGCTCTGGCCAGGTACGTACCCCTAAAGGTCGAGTGTCTTTTTGGACGGGACGGGACTTGGAGGCTTGGAGCTGCCATCCACGCACCGCACCGGCGCACCCAAGGGCCAACACCCACGCCATCTGCCATCCGCAGCCTCCAACGGTACGTATCGTGGTATCGCAGCCTCCGTCCGCAAAAGGTACGTGCCTGTATCCACCCTGGGAGCGTTAATGGAAACGTTCTTTTCCACCTTTTGGTGAGGTCTCTGAACCCACCACCCTCCGCCTCACCTCACAGGCTCACCTCGCTCCAGTTTGCCGTGAAGTGTCCTCCACCTTCACGATGTCCCGCCTGCGCCTGCCACCACGTAACGTACCAGCGTACACAAGTACCAAAGTAACTTCCCCTCTTTCAACGCCCAATCGTGCCGCCCATCTTCTCTCTCTCTTTACACTACTGTGTACAGACAGAGTCTCACGAATCATGAGGCCCGCGACGGATTCATTCACTCCCGTCACTCATTGTGGCTTCTTGCCTCTCTCTCCCCCCCCCCTCTCCCCGCGGCACAGTCACACACCCACCATCTTTTCTGTCGTCTCTGGCGCTACGGATATCATGGTCATACCTGACCGAGAGCCCACATTCCAGAGCTCTCCTCGTGCCTGCAGCAAACAGGCCGACGAGGCCATAGTTTAAAACACCAGGTTCCGGATGATGACTTAGTGCCGCCCCAGAGTCATCTTTCTCTTCGGATGATTCCTCAACAGCGTCAAACGCGACTAACCCCAAGATTGCCTCGAGCCTCGAACCCTGAGGAACTGATACCAGGGCAGAGCTTGGGCTCAAGGCTCGATCAAGAACCAGAGCTGGCTGGCCATCGGCACTTGCAGGACCCAAGCCAAGCGAGCCACGCCAGGCAGGCTGGCAAGCAGGCTCGCCTGCCTGCAAGTTGCAACTCGCAGTGCTCCCACAGAACTTGAGCTGCCAGAGACGACCTGGACGCATCTCGCCTCTCGCTTGACGCTGCTGCAGCCGCCACCACCGGCCGCCTCTAGCGTCTATCATCAAGCACATCCGGCATCAGCTATCGATGCCTCCTCCGAAAAAAAAACATAGGACGAGCCTGGACGGCAACTTTGACGGGGTCATCCCAATCAGTCATCAACCGTGCAAACTTACACTTAGACATTGCGGGCTGCCCCGAGGCATTCGTCCGTTCCTCGCGACACCACGAGCTACGGAGGCCACGGACGTTGACCGGCTGCTGGCCAAGGCCCCATTGATCAGCATTCGACTGTGCTTCCCGTCCTCACACAATCACAGTGGCATCACCTCACCTGTGACCTGTGTGGCTTGTACGGATACAGTTAATGGCTGATGCGTCTGCGGTGCAACAGTCACGACGTGGTCGTGGTGGTCTAGGCAGTGGAGGAAGCACCAAAAAAGACAGCGCACCCTGCACAGTGCAATGAGACTCGACAAAGGACGACGCCCACGGCTCTCTGACACTCTGGGAAACGATCAGCTCACGGCATTGGATCGGCTGCTGTCAACGGGCAACTCTATCTGCACCTCGCGTCAACGGCACGTTGGCCCTCAATTCGGCCCTCCTATGCGTCTTGTCATCTTCCGCCAGGGTCCCGTCCGCTTTATCGCCCTTCACCCATGAGTGGAATGATCCTCCACCTGGCCAACCGACGATATCATGGAAATGCCATTGTTGCCGCCTTGTTTCTACAAGCGGCAACGCCGAACAAACAATTACAAGGTGGAAGTCGCCCGCTCGTAGCCTCGGTCGATAAAACTTAATAAGCCCTTGGCCGCGATGAAAACCTGGCTTTCTCGACCCTTGCCATGATGCCAAGTCCACAATGGGCTGGGGTAGAGTCAGGGCCGCCACTCTCACCACTGACCAGACCCTTCGGAGTTTTCAAGCCGCCCCCTACCACCGCAGTCAGAGCCCCACGAGCCAGGACCAGAGCAGCCATTGATAAGTCGCCTGTTGCGCAAGGTTTCGATCGCAAGTTGCCGCAGATCTGCCATGGTACATTAGCAAACGCAAGGATGAAAATCTTCTCGTACGGGCTCCAGTCGATAACGGATCCAGTGCCCAGACGCCTGCAGCTAGCTTGGTACTCTATGCGAGTTGTTTGACGGCGAGAACAGACTATTCGTAGCTGCGACGTCGCCTTCACGCCTGGATAGGCACTGAGATGCTGCTAACAGCAATCGGCTCAACAAAACCAAACGAGCTATCGCAGATTCGTACACCAGACGAGGCCCCTCGTCCGATGGATTGCATCTTCGCTACAGACCCCGCTACGAACTGCAGATAGACAAAGCCACCATTGGCAATGGCCGGCTTTGCCTGGCCCTGTCGTGCCTGGGGCCCTGGGCTTCCGGCGCAGAACGACCTGATGTTCCCGATGCTCCTCTCTCCCCACAAGCGTGGAGACTACCTGCGTCCGGACTGTCTTCTTGCAGACCCCGCCACTGCTGGGCCCTGAGCCTCGAGGGGCTCTTCTGCATTGCTGTTGGCTGTGTCGGCATTCCGAGGCTCCAAGGTGCCCTGAGCTATTCGTATCTCGGATGGATATCGACTGTCGTCGATGCCGATTGCGTGGGTAAGGCCGGACTACGGTACGCGATACTGCTATGGTCACAGTGGACGGGTCATACGGCACAGTGGAGAATATCTCGCAGGAATAGTTTCTTCCTGGCGGATCGATGAATCGTGTGCCAATGGTCCGACGGCCTGCTGTCACGGTTGTTACCCTCCCGGTGGTTGGTTGAATGTCCAACCACGGCACAAGGTGGATTGCGGAGTGCCGGTGCAAAGACCATTGCGAGGCTTCAGCAGATCTCCCTCCTCTAGCTCGAACAATGAGGAGGGGCAATGGGTGCACAGCCCTCAATCTGTCAAACGAACCAGTTGCAGATGACGAAACAAGTCGCAGTACAGGGTCCAGGCATGTTCATCGAGGAGCCGAGCTTGACGCGGTACGGCCAGCGGCGACTTAACACGACGAGTTATTCCCCACCCGTATCACGGATTATGTCTGGAGGTGCGTCGCGATATTGGGAGGTTGCTGCGAACCAAGGTATATCCCGACTCCGAAAGGCAACCCATTATCTCCTGCTTCGACCGACCGATCAATGTTGCAAGCGGGAGTCTCTGTTAGCCCTTCGTTGCCGCGAACGCACGTCTCTCCAATTGGCTTTGCCTGCAAATAAGGCACATCAGATCTGCGTCAGTTCCCCGATCGATGTCGCTTGTTCCCAGCACACCCGTTCACAGCCATGGCCAGACCCTGCACACGCCAATTTCCTCTATCAAAAGACGCCAGACGCCAGACTCCAGACATCTCAGTCCATAGTTGGTCCAACATGTCCACTCCGAAAGGCACCGTCTCTGATGGCGAGTTATGCCACTTGCCTCTTCTCGGTGACCTGCATTCATGGCATAACGTATTGCACATCATCTTGCATACTATACTTCTGACCATTCATGTTTCTCCAACCATGAGCCTCGTCAACGGAATGCCGCAATCCATGACGCCGCCGGACCCCACACGGACCGGACATTTGATGGATTTCTAGAGAATCTCGGTGACAAGTGTCATGAAGCATATATCCGCCGGAACCGACGTTGTACGAAGCTTTGAGTTCGATACTACGAAGCCGTTTGTCTCGTTTGAGATGCGAACCTCGTGCCAGAGTGAATCAGTTCCATACCAATATGCCAGCCAAATTCGACCGACGCCGAGCGGAGCAGCAGAAGGCCAACGAATTGTCCGGCAGCAATGCGGGCGAGAGTCATTTTCCCCACGATCATTGGTGCAGCTCTAGGGGAACCGGCAAGGGGCTGCTCAGGCACAGTCGTGTCTCCCCGCCGTCCCCCATACCTATTCCTATTGTACGGCAAAAGAAACCTGCTGCAAGCCATCCCCTGGATTTCGAATGTGCGGTGTGAGATTCTCGTCTGAAAGAAAACGCCTTGGTAGGCCCGTCAACCAATCATGCCGCATCTTCTGTTGGCCGTTGGCGGGATTCGCTCGAGGACTCTCTATGCCTACCGTCTTCCTTGCATTACGTGATGCAAGTAATGATTCTGGACCGTTGAAAGAGACAGGAGGCTAGTCGAGACTGTGGTTGTCACTGCGAAGCATTGGCTCGAAAACAGTTGGTTTGGTACTCGATAACAACTGGCTAATCCGAGTGAACAGTCTTACTTGATTGACTTGGTCGGGACTCAACTTGTTACTTGGTAAGGCCAAATGCAAGATGGCAACCATCAATTGATTGAAGATGGGGCCAATTGAGGGTCGCTAACCCCTCCTCGACCCCTCCTCCGTCGGACGCGGGGCACGGAACATTCTCCCAAGCCCTGCCCAACTTACGATTGCAATTCATCTCTCTGACAACCGAATTGATGGATTGACGATGCCGCTAGTTTTCACAGCAACTTGACTTGGCGCAAGAGATGTCGATACCGATGCCAGGCATCGAAGAACGTTCCTAGCCGAACCTAGCCCGAGGTCTGATCACTGGATGGCCTCAAAGCTATCGCGGCGCCATCCGCCTCTAGTGAGGGTGCTCGGATCTCTCGAGATCTTGACCGCTTGTTAACCCCCCTCAAGTGGTGTGTGGCCCAAGCTGCGCAACCACCTCAAAGGGATTCAGGAATGCCACTATTCCACTCAGAAACGGACCAAAATACCCAGCGTATTGGAGTTCTTCTTGAAGGCATTTTGCAAGGTCTATTTCTCCGCGCAGCTGGAATGCTGCTGAAGATAATTCGCATACCTTACATTTTCCTTCAGGATTTTTGACACATGAACGTCTGTATGTCTGCTTCCTTGGCCATGCAGGGACGCACAGCACTGCGCTGGCTCCAATCGTAATCCCAGGCGGTCATTGACCGCTCTCTCTCTGCCACTGTACACTATGCGGAAAAACTTGTATGCCGCAGGTAGTGTGAGTGGGCAGGCTGTAACTAGTCGTACCATCAAAGGGTAAGCTATTATTTGTCTGCTCGGTGCTAATTGCAATTGACTCGAGACTTTGTCCACACTTGTGTGTTGTCATGAAACTGAAAGAAATGGACGTTGCGTCATTCTCATACGGCTCTGTACGCTTCCAATACGTTCCAAGAGAAAATATGCCCGAGGCCCGGTGATCTAGGCATCTGAGAAATGTTGGTTGGGCTCGGCTTGGATGAGTCAACTTTGTGAGTGGACTGATTGGCCCCTGCGGACCTGGAAAGCTCTTGAGGCTGATGTCCGACATGGTGTCCCGGGACGACTTGAGCTGTGGGCGTCATGCTCACGGTTGGACGTCTATTGAGTCGAGTCACCGTGGCTCGGAGACATGGCTGTCACTTTGCCATGATGAGCATCGACTTTTATTCAACTCGATGACTTTGATATCGTAACTCATAACCAAGTTCCTTAGACGCCTTTTGAAGAGTCCATTCATTCACTGTTTTATCTGCAGGTTTTACGGTTGTCTTGATCTTGGTTCCAGATGCCATTGAAGATGGATGGCTGTGGTATCGTTAGAGCTTGGTATGCTTGTCTCCATTACTCGAATCACTGGACCGAAGCCAGCTTGATCCATCATTGTGTATGAATGCTACGAAACATATAGTTCTCTTCCAAGTCATCTCAACCATAGCACGTATTCCATCCTTCCAAACTCGGGTTGCGTCGGCCGAGTATGGATCATAGCTCACCCACAGACTCGGCTGCGTCTCTACGAACCCAGTTGACATGAAATCACTTTGCGAAAAGACTACATCAAATACTTCCCCAGGGCGCGATTGGGTGATGAAACCGCGAGACCTCGTGTATAAATAGACGTTCGTTGTCGGATTTGAGGTTGTGGTGAAGATAGTTTTTTCCGGCCCGAGCGGGTGATCGGATGGAGTAGAGTTGCCGCTTTGCAGACGTCTGTTTGGGATGTAGGAAACTCTATTCTTGGCTTGATGGGGGTGTTTGCCGTGGTGTCCGCAGAATGTTTAGTCTGTGAGGTTTGGTGTTGTGCGGGATGAGTTTGGTTTGATGGTTGTTGGTTCGTCGTACCTTGCTCAGTGGGTGATCTCGAGAGTCTGACCATGTCGCTTTGGGGGCTTCGGGTTCGGTGACGTGAAGAGCGTGTCCCATACGAACATGAAGAGAGGAATAGCTCTATGAATTGTCTCAAGCTGAATTTAAATGTTGATTGAGACAGATCTTGTGGTATGAGTCTGTTGCGGACGGTGGATCATCACTTTGATCCTTTGAATGACGAAGAAACGGCTATGAACGGTGACTTGAAACCCCCAACCATGGTTCCTCAGAATCACTCTCCATACTAGCTATGAACGTCACTGGGCTCAATGTAACACTCCAAAGTCATTGAAAATAAGATTGTTCTCGTCACTGATAGCACGATTGAGTTCCATGTGACTCTAGCAAATCGGTCTAGTGGGGGCTTCAGCGATTGCGCCTGTCTCTTCGAATTGGTCCATACGTAGACATTTCAAACTTAGATGACGAATCTTCGAATCTATGATAATTGGATCATCTACAGCATCACTTTCCATATGATTTCGGCGAGTGGTACCACTCTTACGGCTCATGACGGGAATAAGTGCTCTCGGCTGGTTCATTGACCCAAGCTCAACGTTGCTTCAACCCAAGAAGGTGAACCAAACGCCAACCTGTGAACTTTCACCAGGTAAATTGTCCCATCTCATTCCAGACTGTACCCGTCTTCGTCCTGATTGAAGCTCTTATAAAATACATCATAGCCTCCGTTTCGGTCATTGAATCTACCATATAAGCTAAAGGCGGAATTTTCATACCTTGCCGTATGGTGGCCGTGAGGGCGGCTGATCCAATTGCAATCAAGCAAAAGACTTCTGGCTTATACTATACGTAGGAGATGAAGGTGAGTGTGACTAGAAATAAATCCGAAATAGCTAACTAGTCCATACTACGATCAATGAGGTTGAAAGCTTGGAACCCGGATACTGCGAAAGTCAACTGGCTCTCACATCACACCACAAGATCTTGAGCATATCCCAGACTGTTTCCAAAGTTACCATGCCCACAGGAAGTTTCCTAAACTTGATGCTTTGATGAAGGGCATACAGGCAAGTGGGTGGCAGAAGTGGGTGCCGGTCAACGCACAAGTTCAGCCCTTGCTCATTACCACTACCTTCATTATCATCACCTTACTACGCTCCTTCAAGTCCGTTCTTCAAGGAATTCATTGGAACTAGATTGCCTGAAATTAAGTAGAGTACAGTCATGGTAGTAGTATGGGTATAAGCAGTGGGAAAATTAAAGTTGAGATGACAAAGTGGAAGTTCTCGTCTATCTCGAGCGCTATGCCCAACAACCTGGCACTGGAGGGATTGGCGTTCATGCGATATATGAAGGTAAATTAATTAGATTATACAACTGAGCATGTGTAGTCTCTGATGTGTCGGTTCGGAAAGCCTACGTTGAAAGTCTCGCACATATTTGAGACGGAGAAGCGAGCCGTCGTCTGAGTGGTCGATAGAGAAATTATTTGCTCTTCTGTGAGTGAGAGTCCTGACTTTAACATTTTAAAAGTAAGCTCACTTACGGGTTTCTCAAGTCCGTAAGGGCAATTAACAATCATCCCGGTCTGAGTCTCCAAGGCGTGTCGTTGAAGATTAACGTCGTGATGGGACGCCTGATGGTGAGGAATCCGGCGATGACTAATGGTCGGGGGCGAGAACAGCCAATCAATCTGGTCGCGCCCCACCTTTATGAACTTCCTCTCTTGGGCGCACTATGGCAAGTGGGAAGAGCCCATCACATCCATCATTACTGCCCAAAGCAAATATCCTTCGAGTTAAGACGTCTTTTCAGACTCGAAACATCATAGTTTGACATTGTAATCAGATCATGGGAGTCTGAGTCTTTCCTGACGTCTCATAAAGCTCGTATCCCACGCTCTTCCTCTGAGTGAGATGAGACCCCGCATCAAACCTCTCAAGCGCCGTACCAAAGTCACCTTCATCAAGCGCGCAGCAAATATGGCTGCATCGGCCCAGACCGGGTCACCGCAACGGTCCGACAGCGACGTGGACGAGGAATTTATCGACGGCCTGAGTGATCTGGGAATCGAAGGAATCGAGGCGAACAGTGTCGTTCCAGAACTTTTCACGTCGTCTCCACCTGTGCGCGACACGCTTCCGACGGCCACTTCGTATGCCCAAGACGCAACGGTACGGGAGTGTGTCCCGCTGCTGGCTGCCACGGACAGCGATATCGATCACAACGCCCACGGAGTACCCTCAATACTCCATGATAACCATATCAAATTTCTCCAGAAGCAGCTTGGAAGGTTTCCGGCCCCGTATGTGGCTGCCGACGCGAGTCGGCCATGGTTCCTGTACTGGTCTCTCAACGCCCTGGCTCTCCTCGGCTACGACACAGCAGTGTACCGGGAAGACTTGATAAAGACAGTGCGCACAATGCAGAACCCGTCCGGTGGCATCGGAGGCGGTCACGGCCAGGACTCTCATCTTGCCACAACCTACGCCGTCGTTCTCGCCCTCGCCATTGTCGGCGGTGAGGATGCATACGAAGCGATAGATAGGAAATCCATGTGGACATGGCTTTGCTCTCTCAAGCAACCCAGCGGCGGGATCCAGATGGCCCTGGGCGGAGAGGTAGATGTCAGGTGGGTTGACACCAGTCCCCCTCCACCGTTGTCTCCCCTTCTCGGCTTGCGCCATCTTTCTGACAGGTCTCTAGGGGAGCCTACTGTGCTGCCGTAATTGTAACCCTCCTGGACCTGCCTCTGGACCTTTCAACCGACTCTCCGGCCTGGACGCCTGAGCGGCCCACGCTCTTCACTGGATTGGCGGATTATGTACGCAGATGTAAGTCATACCTTAGCCCGGTTGCCTCACCGTCGCTCACCAATAGGCCAAACGTTTGAGGGTGGAATATCGGGAAAGCCGGATGGTGAAGCGCATGGAGCCTATGCTTTCTGCGCTTTGGGCTGCCTCTCGATCCTGGACACTCCGCATCGCATCATCCCCAAGTACGTATTTCGCCGCGTTCGTCCACTGAGGGGTTGACATGAAAGCAGCGCATACTGACTGCTTCGTCCGATGACAGATACCTAGACGTGCCACGACTTATCTCTTGGCTCTCGTCACGGCAGTACGCTCCGGAGGGTGGCTTCAGTGGCCGCACAAACAAGCTCGTCGACGGCTGCTACAGCCATTGGGTCGGTGGGTGTTGGCCCTTGATCGACGCTGTGCTGAAGGGCGCGATTGAGCTCGAGGATCAACCAAATGAGGCGACCTTCACTCCCCATCAGGGCAGTCTTTACAGTCGAGAAGGGCTGATCCGATACATCTTGTGTTGCGGTCAAGACCGGTCCAAACGTGGCGGTCTCCGCGACAAGCCCAGCAGGTGAGATGGCGATGATGATAGAAGCTTCCTGATCCGGATGGTTCGTCGCTGACTCGAGTGATAGGCCGTCGGATGCGTATCACACTTGCTACGTCCTCTCAGGACTGAGCTCTGCGCAGCACCAGTGGGATCTCACATATGTCAACGAAGATGAGACGATCCTATCGGAGCCAAAGTGGGTGGCGTCGCCTTGTGCCGAAGGAACACAGGTATTCAACGAGGAGGACCGCGTCGGGACGATCCACCCCGTCTACACCATCCCCCAAGAGAGCGTCGACGACATGAAGGCGTACTTTGCGTCGAAACAGGGATTCTAGCCCGCCACCAGGCCGCCTGAAGGCGACCGCCCCCCCCCCCCCCCATGTATATGGTCGAGGAACGTCGGAATTCCGTGTCACGTGGTTCCGCGCGAAAAGGGGCACTATGATGGCGGAGACCTTCCGAAATGAACTCGGCGATGGGAAATGTGCCATGCATGCTTACTGTCGGCCCCAATCATATGGAAGTGTGGGATTGCGGAACGAACACGACGGTCCTGCAGCTTCGAGCCCCGGGCAAAGAGATCTCGGACAGGGATCGTATGTGCAAAGTTTTGAACAACTCATCACGGCAATATGGCGGCGGCGCAGGAGACTTTGTGGTTGTGCATGTTGAGAGATCCCAAGACGGTCTCCCAAAAAGGTCGAGTTGCATTTGAAATCCGTGCGCCAGCTGCAGCACGCGAATCGGCATGCAAATGGTTACTGGGAGGAAGAGAGAGGTGTTGTAATGGCAGCAGGAGGTAATACATTTCGAACAAACGTTTCTAGTCCAGGCCAGGGCAGAGTCGACCGAGCGCAAGACCCAGTCGGCATCCAGTGTTGACTTTGAACATCCCACACGAACGGACCAAATTGTCTCCCGTTCATTCAGCGCTCAACGGTCGGGACTGCACATCTTCCGAAGGCAAGGGTCCCCTTTGCTGTTTATTCTGGCTTCTCGGCGCCACGACGCGGCGGCGGCGGCGAGGAGATGCACATCATAATCCCCCCCCCCTCCCCCTTCTCAGAACCAGGCCGATCTAAAGACTTGGAGACCCTGTAACACGCCACTTTGATGCTTCTGCCGTGCGATTCTCGTGTGGTCGCCCATTTCCCACGCGTGTGTCTTTTTGGTTTTGGGGGCTAATTGGAACGGCTAAGAACGAAACTTGGATGCTTGTCTTGGGATGGGCAGGTCTGAGACACAAGGCAGAGACACTTGAGACAAGTTGTCCAGTTCCAGCCCTGACACGGCAAAAGGCACAGAAGGAACTAGATCGACGTGTAGAGGTGTGTGTAGGTGTGGGCGAACAGGCTGAGGAGGAAGAGAGACAAGTCTACTGCGAGTCCGCGGTGGATTATCCCAGCAGACTGACCTAACCCATGGCGGCCACGCGAGGTTCGATTGGTTCATCTCGCCTTACAGCAGCGCCGCAGGGCCTGGGCGCAGATGTCTTTGCTGTCATACATGAACAAACCTAGACGCGAGTGCGCCCCTCTTTTTTTTTTCGATATTCCTCTTTGGAGTTCTTTTTGATATCAGAAAATAATTACCCGGGAAGGTGGTCATGTTGTGGTCGCTTGATATAGCCGGGCTGTGTCTCGAAAGGAAGCAATATTCACACTTTTTATTGGAACGGACGCGTAGTCGTCGTCTGCTGGTACAGGCACCGGACGACGAGAAGATTGCTCCAAGCTTTGAATCTGGATCCGCCGAGGTGGACTCGAGAGGTGGACGGCATGTTGCTCCTGGCGCCGCATCGCCTACATAGCGGAGCGAAGCACACGGGCAAAGGCCGCAGATGTACAGAAAAAGAAGACGAGATGATGGCGTGGTTGGTAAAAATACAAATGAGCTTTTTCTGCAGCCGGGAAATGGTAGAACGGCGGTCTGGTCTTGGTGGTAAAATAATGTGGTGCGACCTCAGGTTTCCAGGAGAGGTCGGCGGCCGGCCGGTCGCCCTCCAGTGTCAAAGGTCCGGTGAACTCTCTTTCACTCTGACGAACCCCCCTCCATCTTCCATTCGGATCGTGGGCGGTTCTGTCCAATGGCGTTCCATCTCTTGATGCAAATGACGTTGAAAGAAGGCCAGGTGTGTTGTCTTTTTCGAAATGGGGGGCGGGATGGGATGTGGCAGAGAGGGAGCCAGAGGGTGAGAGAGAGAGAGAGAGAGAGAGAGAGAGAGAGAGAGAGAGACGGAGGAGGGGTCCATGATGTCTCTTTTTTGTGCCCCTCACACCTCTCATCAAAAGAGCTACCCTGCCGGGTCAGCTCCAAGACGGGGTACAGATACAGATTACAGTACATGATACACAAGAGGGACGCCAGCGTAATCACAAACTTGTATTCCCGAGCCACCGGATCCCGCAGGCCATGGTTCACAAAAAGCCCCGGGCTGTGGATGCTGGTTTGGGGGAACACATACTGGTTTCGTTTCACAGCGGGCTTCTTTCTGTACTACAAAATGTGTTCATAGAGACATGGGCCGTAGAGTTGACGGTGAGAAACACCTCGGCACGATTATCGTATCACTGCTATGGTTTCTGCTTAGCCGCGTTAAACCGGGGTTTTATTGTAAGACGATGAAGCTCGGTGGAGTCGTCTCTTAGGCCAAGGCAGGGCTGGAGAGGAATTTGGATAATAACAAAGGCTCAAGAGAGATCTGTCTCGGAAGAAGTTCCGGGCGTAGTGAGGGTATATCCACCTTGATATCTCTACGTACGCTACTACATCCACTTCGAGAGGGCGCGGCTGTGCTCTCCAAGATACATACACAATAAAAAGGGTCCGTCGCTGGTACACGGGATCTTGGTTGACTGGAGTCTTCCGATGCCCACTCGCTTGGGTAGCGAAGAGTTCAAATCAGATGATTTTGGTGAGGCAGGCGGGTATAGACAGGAGGCATACATAAGTAGTACGTTCATTTGTCCCATCTTTCATTCGATGCCGACCAAAGTAATGTGTCATGGCCAAAGAACATGAGACGAAGAGAGTCCCATCGGCCTTTGGATAGGGTCTACCGTCTATCAAAAAGTCAGGTCACGCCAACAAACATGCAGACCCCCCCCCCCCCATTGTCCCCGCTTCGTGAGAGCCGGCCGCTGGGGTGGAGCAAAGTGTGGAGAGTGAGAGAAGTGAGCTGTGAGAGAGAGGGAAAAGCTAGGATTGATCCAGATGACAAGGTTCCAGAAAGATGCCAATTGACGAATCACATTTGGGGATGGCGTCTACGGCGAGCGCTAAGAGGCTAAGAGCTAGCTCTGTCAGGTCGGGCAAGAGACGTTTGGCTTTTCTTTGGGAGCAGCACCAGTAGCAGCACCCGTTTTGTTCTACTCTGCAGTAGCTTGGTGAGACTTTCTCAGGGAAAGACCATGAAGGCCATCGGCGGAACATCACCTGCCTTCAGCCAACGATATGGAGGTGGTGAGATGCCTGCCGCCGAGAGATGGTGATGAGTGGCTTTGGAGGTGAGGTAGATGAGATGAGTGACACGGCGAGTGAGCGAGTGAGTGAGAGTAACCGATGTGAGTGAGTGAGTGTGTAAAGTCATTGGTGAGAGGAAGGAGTGAATGATGTCGTTGGCGCCTTCCACGGTGCTTCCAGATTGATTCGGGAAGGAAAGCACGGGCGATTCGCTGACTGACACGACCCCTTGCGGCAAGCTGCAAGCTGCACGCCGCCAACCTCCTCTTTGGCATTTGCTCCTCTTCTTCTTCTTGACGGCTCCCCATGCTCCGTGGAGAACCAAGCGGCAGCAACAACAAGCTGCGAATTCAAGCTACAAGTTACAAGTTACGACAAGTCATCAATGACAAGAAAGAGTTGGCCCGCGGCAATCTAGCCGTTGCTCGACCTCTGCGCGCATGACCCTATCTGCTTCTGCTTTTCTCACCTGCATTGACAGATCGCGGTTGCGAACGGCCAGGTACCGCTGTACCTACCTCTCTCTCACTCCCAGTTCTCGACCTTTACGCAGGTGTAATTGCCAATTGGCTTACAAGACCCAAGGTAGAGGCACAAACACCTGAGATATCAGGATGGGTTACTGAGAGAGACACACACATACGCACACACGCACACACACACGAAGAGAGAGTGAGAGAGAAAGAGAGAGAGAGAGAGAGAGACGGCAAAGATGGACGAGGGGTGTGGAAAGCAGAAAAAAAAAAAAAAGGCCAATGCATGTCAAGAGAGAGTACCCTGCCTTTTGGATCGAGGTCTCGCCGGACTTGGTTTCCTGATTTCCCTTGGATTACCTTCCAGGTTCATCAAAGCAACACCGTCGAGCGGCACTGCCAGCTCATCATTGCATGGTGTGGTCTGCGTCCCAAGGGCCTGCGCTTGCTTTGGCCCGGCCTAGTTGCAACTTGTGCGTTTTCGCGCGCGCCCGCTTGCACCAGTCAGCCGTTGCGCTGCGTCTGCCTGCCTGCTGCTGCTGCTGATGCTGCTTGTTGTTATTGCTTGCTGCTACTTGCTAATTACTTGTTGCTGCTGCTGCGAAGGTATCCGTACTGATGCACCGGCACCCACATCACCAACCCACGTCCAAGGTATCCGTACCCGTCATGTCATGCCAACGGTACGTACTGATGCTCTCTTGCTGCTCTTTCCCACAACGAGTAGGTACCTGAGATACGTACTGACCTTACGTGACTGTGCAAGTAACCATGTACTTTCGTCTCCTCCTCTCCACCACGTCGTCATTTGCCTCCTCCGACGACAACCAACAACGTACGAACTGGAGACGATGGGGAACATCGACATCGACATTGACGACGACTGCAGCAGCTTGTTATCACCGCTCACCTCGCACGGCGGATACTCGACAACCAGCGAGGTCACGCTCGTCTCGTTCCCCCACGCCCACAACTCAGCCAGTGACTACAGCACAACTGCACAACACAGAATGCATAGAATCAACCACTCCAACGTCTTCCTCGAATTCGACCCTCCGAGAGCCTCCTGTCCCCTCCCTTCGAGGTATTGTAACTGACCTTACCTGACCTTACCACGCATTCACGGCCTGTTCAATGCATACATACTCACCGTCCTCACACCCCTCTCGGTGATGTCGCCGTCGTTGTCCGTTTTCGGCCATCTAACGGTCTGTATTCGCGTGACTTTGATTTTTTCTCCCTCCCCCTCTTCACCTTCTGCCCCTCCACACTCGCCTCCATCATCGCTTTGGTCATTAAACTTTTGCCTCATCTTACAGCATAAGGGAGGGTCCTTTTTCGACCTAGGCAATCTGCGGCGGACACTGTAACTCTCGCAATATACCCAGAGAGAGGGGAAGTGGACAGATGGACATGCTTCTTGCATATGGAGAACCGAGATATAATTTGCCCGCGGAGCCGATTACAGCGCACCCCCTCCCTATCGATCCCCTGCTGCTGCTCATCCCACTTCGACTTGAGAAAGCAACATTGGCCTCTCAAAGCCAGAGAGGGGGAAGCTATTCCATGTTGATGGATCTCGCCGCCCCCGTCGAACCCACTCCCAAAGCCATCTCTCGGCGCTCAGAGTGTTCATGCACGTCGTCTGCTACCCTCTTAGCTCACGGCCACAAGACTTGAGAGATGACCTCTTCACCGACCTTGCAATTCTGTCCGCGGGGGACGATGCCGCCTGCCGGGGGCCCTTGAACCTCGAACGGAGACGCGCCGTTCGGTCACTAGGTGCCACCGACTTCACCTTATTCCATGGCTGGCGAGCGGCCGTCGACCCCCATCATCCATGGGATTTGAAAATCAGTAATAACAGAACCCTGGGAGTTGCAGCCGCCGTAGCATAAACGACTTGAAAGATCCAGCGTCTCGCCGCCGACTGCCGCTCGCTCTCGTCTATTCTGCGTCGCTCATCTCTCCGGGGATCTCTATTTTGGTCGGCACCCTGGCTCGCACTCTGGGCCAACGAACGGCTGGTAGCCTAGCAAGCGCTGATTTGCCGCTCCAGAGCGGTACCCTGTTCCGTCACCGCAACGAGTCCAGTCTGTATCTGTACCGGAGTATAGCTACATTCGTGCTCGGAGGGTTTCTCCATTTTCTCTGCCACTGATTCGCTGAGCAGTTGGAGAAGGATTTCGATTTTGGCCGTCTCTGACTGGATACAATTGCTAGCCTACGAGACGACTCTGGCCGACAGGCGGTTTTGACTTTGATGATGCCGTGCGAATCGCCCGCCATCGCTGCACATCATTGGGAGCCACCGATGATCCCAAACGAGGGCCCCGGCGCCTGGCGCTGTTCTCACCCTGTCCCAGCTAGCATCGAAGCGCACGGCCAGGCTTTGCCTGACATGGCACAGACGAACTTGGGGCTGGCTGCCAGTTCTTCGACTTCTAGGTTCATCGTCCTTCTCTCTTGGTATCACAATGTCACCTTCCAAGTTGCCGGAGACGCTCTCCTCTTCTTCATCGTTCCAATCCCCCAACCTCGGGTCCCGCAACACAAGCGAGCAGCAAGCAGCAAGCAGACAGGATGGATGGCACGGTGGATTCGATCTCGACGTTTGGTTTGGGGGGGCCCCTTCTGCTCAACTCCGAGTCCGAACCCACCGCATGCGTCGTGCTGCCCCCGCAGAGACGGTCGTTGACCGCAGTCAATACATGCACGCAAGCCTAAAGTAGCAAGCAAATGTACATGGCCTCATACGTACATACATGACGATGGATGGCATATCTCAACAACAAATTGGCGCTCGGCCTGTGACAAAACAACCAACAATGAGCGGTGGAAAACATTTGGCAACACTGGCAACAATGACAATAACACCAACGGTACCATGGAGCCGACAAAGACCGCACGACTGACAGGTTACTGAGGAATTGTCCACAAGTGCCTACCGGGCCTTTACTCGATAGTTGATTACAGGTGCAGTAGTCGCCGCTAACACGAATAATTTAAGGCATCGATTTCTCATCAGTCATCCTTTGTCTGTCTTTCTTCCCTCCCACCCTCCGTGGTCGCGGTCACTGGACTGGATAGGGCCCTTTACGCCTTACTGGGCACATCCCTCTTCGGAGGAGCCAGAAAAGCAAATAAGCATGCTCTGGCGTTTTGACTCGCCGCCAGCCCGAAACAATTCAATCAAAGGCCATGGAAGCCCGGGCTCGGGACCAGCGTATCCCGCATTTCATGTTAACTCATCGACGAGAGTTACTTGGCAGATTCTTCGATCAAGTAAAAGCAACGTACCGGACTTCTTGTGCGCTGCCGGAGGAGAACCAGCTCGCCTCGCCAGATTGGGGTCCTACATGTCCGTATGGTTCCATTTCGCCACCGGCTTTGCAGATTTGCAGCAGCCCTCGTCAGTATTTTACTCTGTTAAATTTAATTTTTTTTTTGTTCCCTCTCAGTCTTTTCGTCTCACAATTCGCCCTCGACATTTCTGCTGTAGCCCTAGAGAAGCTAAGGCAGCCCGCTATGCGACCCGGCGGGCCACATGGTCGGAGAGACTTCGTCCAAAGTTTCGACCATGTACGCATGTACCAGACGCGCGCGCCTTTGCTTGTGACGATGATGTCGTGGGCAAACCACAAGCTGGGCCCAAAACAGAATAAAGTGTAAGTCGGTCGATGTTCGGCGGCACGACCGGCGGCAGCACAAATTGCATTTCGAAAAGTAGAAGTGCCCTGGAAGCAGAAGCTTGAGCGGGACCGTCAAGCGCCACGAGCAGCGACAAGCTCACAAGCATCTAAAGACTGAAGCACGTCGGACCTTGCGGTCAAGTCCCGTACGGGGCAACGTTATCGAGATACCTCGTCGATTCTCCAGTCCAGGCCTCGATACTCGTCTGCTACAGGCCGGATACTCCAACGAACGGCCGGGCCTCGAGATGAGCGACCAGGGGACCGGGCCAGCAAGACTGGAGAGAGTGAGAGACTAACAGACGAGCAGGGGACCTTTCTCTCAAGTCTCAGCAGCAGAGAGACAGATCTTCGTCGGCCCATCCCTGGCCCTGGGGCCCTTGCTCAGCGATGATGCTGGTAAACCCCCCTCCCCCCTCTTCAGTGTGTCGTTGTGGAGTTGTCTAGTCTACAGCGGTTTTTATCAACTGGCAACGAGGCGAGCCAACGCAGCAAAGCATGGGTCACACTCTTTCGAGAGCCGCATCGCCGCTTGCATCTCGAACCAAAAAGAATTAAGAGAGAGGGAGAAAAAAAAAGAAGGGTACATTGAGAGAAGCACCCCCATTGTCATTGTGCACTTCTTTTCCGCAGTGCCCGTTTTTTCTCTTGCTCCCCCCCCCCCCCCTGTCGATTCGGCGTCTGGCTTTCCATGTTCACGTCCCTGCCCAGACTCCAGAGACGCAGACAGACCGAACAGACGGACAGAAACGCCCTGTCGCTTGCTTGTTGACCTTTTCCTCGTTCGTCTGTCGTCTCCTCCTCCAAGAGTCCAAGGTACTCCGTACACAGTTCCATTCCCCTCTTTCTCGCCTGGTCCCTCATTTCCTTTTCCTGCCGCTGCCGTTGCCGCCGAAGCTCTCCCAATACCACATACTGCTACGGTTAGTGTCGATATTATGTTCATGTACCTTTACCTTTACCAAGTTGATGCTGGACCTGGACTTGGACTTGGACTTGGACTTGGACTTTTTGTTGCTTGACCACCACCCCCTCCACCCCTCCCCCCCTTGCCCCCGCACTAGTTCGTTGACAAGCCCAGAAGCACGAGAAGAAAAAAAGAGAAGACACCTCTTTTTTTTCTGCAATAAAGCAGACACATGTCTCTCCGTTCATGGCTCAGATGCTTTCCTGCAACCCGAGAGACGGAAGCCCTGGATACGTAGCTTAACTTACAACATCACCCATCCACACCACCACCTCAATACTCCGTACACGCACACACGCACAACACACACACACACACACACACACTCACAAGTAACAACACATCAACACCCCTTCCACCGACTTTCTTCATCTTGCCCCCCCCATACCTCTTCAGGCTTTACTTCTCCAACCTGGGCACCACGAAAACGACGAGAAACTTGACCGATCCCAGCTTCCCTTCTCCTACCTTACATCTCGTTGAACAACTCATACCATACATACTCACCTACCCTCGACCACGCCCCGGATTTCTGCCCTACGCCTTACATACGACCCTCCCAGCACAGCATTTGGCGCGTGGTGCGTAGAGTGCCTGCCAGCTCAGCCCAGCCCAGCCCAGCCCAGCCCATCCCCGACCACAGATCTCTCTGCTCGCCTCACCGTTGGGCTCGATTGCATCTCACGGCGTCCGCATCTTTGGTCCCCTTGTCTGGATAGGAATCTACCCTCGTCGCTTTGCTTCACTTTTTCTTCTTTCTTGCTCTGAGACAACCTCTCTCCCCTGCTACGGCCTGTCCATCTCCCCGCCTAGTTCTGGATCTGGACCTGCATCTCCGAACCACCACCGCGCCTCTTAATCGACCCATTGGGAATAACTGTCAACATGGGAGGCTTCTACATGCAGTACCTCGAGAGTAAGTCATCAATTGAGTTTTATAGATGGATTGTTGGAGCCCAATGCTTCCCTCAACCTCGTCATCGCCATTGTCCGTATAAGTGGGGCCGCCCATGATGACCTGGGGAACTGGGTCAGATCGTGTGCCCTACCCCTGCATTCTGTCAACGGCGGGAATGACATGCGTCTCCCGGTTCCTGGTGACTCTTGACGAGTCGGGACGTGGCACTTTGTTCGAGGATCGACGTCAGCTTCTCGCTGCGGCTCTCTTCAGGAACGGCATGCAGGGCTCGCAAGGGGGTCAAAAGCTGTGGGATTGGATTGGGCTCGAATACAGATGGAATTACGTCGTTGAGAGGCGTGTGCTGTCTAGTTCTCCCTCAGCTGCGCCAGCAACATTGACTCTGGATGACTTGCAGAAGATCTGGGGCTAACCGATCCAATCTAGGTCTCTGCCGGCGACGAGGATGGAACGACCCTTCCTACGAGTGTTACCGCGATCACAGCGGCTACACCTGCTTGGTTCTAGTCAACGGACGGGAGTATCAGACGGATCTCGCGTATCAATCCGACTCGCTGGCCCAAGAGAACGCCGCCATGCGTGCCTTCATGGTGTGCCGCAACTTCTCCGTCAACGGCGGCATGCTGGCCCGCAATGGCATCGTTCAGGGTCTTCCGGCCACTGAGCCTGCTCGCCGCTCCAAGAAGAGCCGCCACACATCATCCAGTCACAGCTCGCGAGACAGCCACCGTCGATCTGGTCACCATTCAAGCAGCAGCTCTACAGCCTCTTTCGACTAAGGATAGGCAGGCGAGCCCTGGATTCCTGTCTTGCGTGGCGACAGGGATCCAAGACGACAACTACAAGGTGGAACAGCTTCGCAGCTGAATGAGCCTATGAAAGAAGACGACACCTCCGGACGGCTGATCTGGGAGGTCACAGGGTCAAAGAGAGACGTGGGGGAAAAAAACAAAACGGGCAAAAAGCGACGCATACTTTTCCATCTGCGACGACTCCTAACGACTTAATGAACTAGAATCATGGTTTCCGCGCGGCACATCTGATTTCTGCACTTCGTAATTCTTCCGGCCGGTCTCCTTCGAATTTCGAACAAAACTCGTTTTTCCCCTCTCGTCACCTATTTTCGGATTCGACTTTTTCTTTACTTTCAAGACTTTTTGATGACCAGGCGCTTGGCTGGGATTGTACAGTGCCAGTCAAGGGCTGTCCTTCATTTTCTCGAATGGATCAACAACCGGAGGCGACTCTGGCCGACCGACCATCTTTCCTTCTCGACAATTCTTTTGGCATTATGCATTTAGTTTCCTCTTGTCCGGGATCTTCTCTCGAATAGGCTCGAACTACTTTCTTCCTTGGTTGCTTGCTTGCTCGAAAACGACGACTTTCCACACAGATTGGAACAAATGATGATGATGGGGCGGTTAGACTCACATGAGCTTGAGACGTGGACTCGGCATTCTGATTTTTATTTTCCGCTCTTGTTTTCGAGACAACTTACGGGGGTCACATATGGGGTGGGAGGACGACTAAAGACGGCCAGAAGAGCCACCCCCTTTACGCATTGCCTCAAAAGCGAAGCATCCGGTTTTTTTTTCTTCTTTTTCTTCTGCATCATCGACGAAGTCGAGGGTGCCTGGGAGAGGTTCAGCATCTCGAATTCCGACTTATTTTTAGCTCCTTTCAAAGGGGCTCATTTACGATTGTTACGCTTTTCGTTCGACCTTTGTGGGAGGGATTTGATGAGATTGGATGAGAGCTTGCTTGTTGGACAGAGGACATGATGGACATGATGAGAAAGCGATGGAGCCAAAGATGACATGACGAGAGACGTTTGAAGGCAACAAAATTGATGAGATTCTGGGGGAGGGGGGGGGGGGGACAGAATAGGCCAGAGAGGGGGAGAGGATGGATTCCATGATCCTATGCCTTTTTCTTTTTATATGCGCCGCTTCTGCGACGCTCATGATGATGATAACGACAACTTTTAACGACAAAGACTTTCATGGTATGAATGGCAAGAATAAGACGATCTCCAAAAAGAAATAAAAACAAAACGCTTTCCAGTTCGTTATTTTTTGGAATCAAACTATTTGAAGCTTTTACCCAGCGTGACTATGGGAGGTGATGGGAGAGCCATTTATGTTGGGCGTACGGCTGTGGTCCCCCAAATTACGAAACCTCAAACTTGGGTAGAGGTTGAGAAGTTGAGGTTGAGGTTGATAGGGCATGGCACCGGAGCGCGCCGAAGTTTGCCGGTGGGGTTTGCCGGTGGGGTTTGCCGGAGGGTGTAGCGAGAGCAGGGGCGGAGGGGAACTTCCCGGAGCCGAGGAGTCGGAAAGTGGATGATGTCTCGGAGGTTCTGGTCAGAACGGTCTAGGCGGCCGGTAGGTGCATGTATGCGCCCGCCATTCGGCGACTTGTCTATCTATATGTGTAGTAAGGTACATGTTCCCTTATGCATCCAATGATACGTGCCATGCCCTCATCGAGGGGGGAGCCGCGAAGTTTCTAGGCCTCTGAAATGCGGGTTTGCTTCTTCTTAGCTATGATGTGGAAGGCCAAATGAGTCTGACGAGGCAGGGCGAGGAGAAAAAGGGGGGGGGGCATATGGTTCTATCTCACATACCTCCTTCTCTCCTTCGTGAGAGGTACTTGTAGCTTAGATTGGGACGATGCAGTTGAGAAAGTAGGTAAGCATTGTAGAGCAGTTTAGGGATGCCATCCACATCATTCTGTTCCTGTTCTGGACTGCAATTGCCAGCTCTACTTTCACTTTCCCTTCCGTTTTTGGCTGTTGTCTCGAGCGGAAGGGAGGCTCAGTTATTCCAGTCTACGAGAACTCCTCTGTGCCTCTCAAGGTAAGGTACTTGCAGACAGTATCCTCGGTACGCATAAACTATGCGCAAACGACATCGAGTCTGTTTGACTCAATCGCCTTCCACATGACTTCAAAGCGGAAGTACAAATCATGCCATCTTTGCACAGAAGCCGCGCAGAAAAGGCGGGAATAAATGCCTTGCATCAAAATTCAGATGATCTGCTGTTTGTCTTGGTCGTTGAAAGTTTAGAGTGTATCCGTAGGATGGGACGGACGGAGCGGGAGTCCGCGTGGCGTGCTGCGGATCCCGGCCGGGGTTTATTCGGATCTTACCACGGAAGGGTGGGGAGGACCGGGCTACCCCTTCCAGAATCGAGAACTGACGGAAAGACCCCAAGACAGTTGAGGTGAGGTCAATGGAAGGCTCGACATAACGAGGGAAAATAAAGATAGAATTATCCGCATCTGCCCGCTGCCTGCCCGTACTCCGTAGAAGAGGCCAGCTGCAGGCTGGCAGGCTGAGCAGCAGCGTCAGAAGCCAAATGGCAAAAATGGCCACGGCCGAGATTCGACGCCGGGCGGTCCCGGGATGTGGATTGTGGGTTTTCTTCTCTCTTGACTCTGGCATGTCACGTTGGTTCTGTGACCCCCACTTTTCGGCGTGTTCAAGCGTTCTGGAACTGGAAGTGCCCATGGACCATGGTGCCCCCTAGAGGCTTGGGATGATGGATCGTGGGCCGGACGCGGTTGTTTGAGAGGAGAGGAGGTGAACACGTACGTCACGTCGCATGTTGAGCGATTTGAGGATCCTCCCCGCCGGGCCCATGGCACGAAGGCATTCCCCTTCTCAAGGTCCCAAGGGTGGCTCAATTGACGATTTTCTTGGGAATCGATGTGGCTTTGCACAAAGGGGCGACTTCCCTTTTACTCCTCCACCCCAGCTTTCCTGGTCACGAGATGGGGATTTCTGCCGCGGCATTGGACGTGTGGCATGAGGTGGGATGAGCGACTCCACTAGCTGAGGCGTCAAGGCGAAATCTGTCCTGACTTGGCCATGATCATTGTTAGCTGTTGCAGGCTTGCAGCGCAATGTGGGCGAGGTGCTGCTTTCTCGAATGCGCCGAGACATGCTCATGAGCCGAAGAGGGAAAAAAATGCCAAGGGAGAGATGTAAGTTTGAAGGCTTGGTAGCTCGAAGGAAGGGGAAGGGATGCGACGCTGGCATTCGTCGTAATTGCGGCGCGGACTCGTAAACACAACACGAGCCTGCAGCTGAAGAACGCTCGTGTCCCGGGCGTGGGCGTCCTCTCCTCTCCTCACCAAGACTTGATCTTCCGGGTTCCCCAGCAGTTGTTCCCGTGATGCTGACGGACGACGGGCAGAGATGCACGCAGCACATCCGAGGGACAAGAGGAGGCAAGAGTCGCGAGTTTAGTACGGGCCCGCCGGTCAGCTGTCTTCGGATGTGTAGGGAGAGCCCTTGCAGTCAAGGTTTCGAGCGAGCCAGACTCTAGCGACAGTGGCCCGCGGCATGTCCAGGTGCGGACTTACTACGGGCGGTCCAGTATCGGATTGCGGCGTACGACGGTCTACCGTTTCGACGTCCCTCCCAATGGTGGCAAAGATGCTGTGTCCCGTCGGTTGGCTTCAACTTTGAATTCTGCGAGCGGCAGCGGCAAGCAAGGGAGGGCGGAGACAGGCATGAGCAAATTCGTCAATCTCGGCAGGGGAAATTGGGGGTAAGGCTGGGTTGACGAGGCCTCGCTGGAACTCGAATATGTTTGGTGGGTTGAGGTGATATGGCTGAGTGCCAATGTGCTATGCGCCAGGAGTTATGTTGCCATTGGGGCTGGCGAGTCGCCGCAATCTCGAACTGGAACGTCGAGTCCTCAAAGTCCCCATCGTACAGTTACACCTCCACTTTTTTTCTTTCTGTTGCGCCCATTGAGAACCTGGAAAGGCTCGGAGGGCCGAGTAGTGCGTCTGCCATTGCCGAACGTGTTGTGAACTTGTGATGGTGTATCCCCACACACGGATCGCCGGGAGGGTAGGTATGTTTTCGTGCTTGTACGGAGTATCTGTATGCGTGTATGCGAATGTTGTCTCTCAGGCTGTGCTCGTGCTTTCGTACGGATGGGGTTTTGAGTTTGAGTATTGATGCTTTCCGTACAGATAGAGTAAAGTAGAGGACGGGAGCGAAAGTCGAAAAGCTGGAGAAAGTGATGGGTGGCAGCCCCTGACAGCTGGGCCTTGCCTGAGCTTGGGGCTGGGCTGGGCGTTGCGGCGTAGCGTCGTTGCATGGTCCTTTCCTTCCAGGACAGTGGACTTATTCTTTTTCCCTCCTCTCGCCTCGAAGCCCCACTCTTGTTGACGGGATGGGATTGGATGATGGGATCACATGGGGGCACTGCGCACGGGGAGAGGAGGGAAGTCATTGGATGGGATTCCGCATTGGCCATTGAACGGTACGTCTTCCGGTATACGTACCTTGGAATTTGATGAACCAGGAAAGAACAGTGAACAGCGTCCTACTTACTTTTCTTAATATCAACAACCTCACATCTCCTAAGGCGCAATCAGCTACAACGATGTTTCCGTGTATAAGGTTATAATGGGAACACAAGAATCCAAGTGTTAAGGTAGCTATAGTTCATCCAAGGTAGGCAACGTGGAGTGGTGGATGACTCTGATTGGGATATAAAAAGTCTAGAACAATGTACCAGAAATGCCAGACACTTTGCAGCCCAGCATGTTGGTGCTAATCCCGCCCGTTAGTGTACCCGTTCGAACCCCCCATTCCGCCCCTGGGCCCCTTCTTCCCCCCTCTCTCTCTCTCTCCCCCTTTGGGTGCCCTGTGCTTCTTGCCGTGCTGCCCCCAATTGATTGCCCATCGCAGGCAGCCCGGCAAAGTACTTTTCCATAGAAAAATCAGCGATGAGTGACTTACGGCTTGCAATTGACCGGGACCTTGGGGGTACAGATGTCGTGTCATTTTTGAAGGTGCCTTCTCCCTCACCACCCTGCGCCTCTTTTCGCGTCTCTCCTTCTCTTTCTGCCTTCCCATCTGTGACCACTGACCTCCCTTTTTTTTTTTTTTTTTTTTTTTTTTCCCATCCCGACTTGCTGGCCTCCCCTCGTGGCTTCCTTCACTGCACTCGCTCAACCTCTTGCCTTTTGCAACTTTCTCCCCCAAAAGGCCTTCTTCCATTTTCCCATCTTCGGATCTTCTTTCCACAAGCAGGATTCCACTGTATACCCTTTTGGAGAAAAGGCACGCCTGTCTCTCTCTCTTTTAACAACCTTCTAATCTTTTCTGGAACCCATCGAGCTACCCCTTTGGTCACCAAACCTCCCCTCCGAAAAAGCGCAGCTTCCCCCTGTCGCCAAATCCAGTCACACCGACCAGGCCAAGAGAACCTCTTCCCTCTTTCAACTGTTCACACACTCGTTTACACACGCACCTCCCCACGGAAGCTACCAAGTCTTCCATTCTCTGCTTCGCTCAACGAAATCAAACCATCACATAACCCCTCAACCACAATACCATCAACATGAAGGGTAAGCACTGTCCCCATACGAACAGCTACATGCGCCTCCGCCTGCCCCAATTACAGCCTTGCCCAGTGATCTGCTGTACTCGAGGCTGGCAACAGGCGCATTGTGTGGTCGGCAGTGACGCAGACTTGCTAACTTGTTACAACAGCCATCATTCTCGTTGGCGGCTTCGGCACTCGTCTTCGCCCTCTGGTACGTCTATCCCTCTCCCTAGCTTGAAGACACAGCATACGGCGGCAGCAGCAGATCTCTGCCACCTGCTGCGGCACCTTCCACACCATGACAGAATATTTTGCTGACCTGGTTACTACAATGCGCAGACCCTCACCCTCCCCAAGCCCCTGGTCGAGTTCGCGAACAAGCCCATGATTGAGCACCAGATCGAGGCCCTTGCTGCTGCTGGTGTCACCGATGTTGTCCTCGCTGTCAACTACCGCCCCGAGGTTATGGAGAAGCACTTGGCTGAGGTGGGTCTTTCCCTAAGCTTCCCCTCTACAGTTCTTCCAGAATAGTGGTGCTGACTTCCTTCCTCAACAGTACGAGAAGCGCTTCGGCCTGAACATTACCTTCTCCGTCGAGACCGAGCCCCTCGATACCGCTGGTCCCTTGAAGCTGGCCGAGAGCATTCTTGCCAAGGATGATACCCCCTTCTTCGTCTTGAACTCGGATGTCATCTGCGACTTCCCCTTCAAGGACTTGGCCGAGTTCCACAAGAACCACGGTGATGAGGGTACCATTGTTGTCACCAAGGTCGAGGAGCCTAGCAAGTACGGTGTTGTTGTCCACAAGCCTAATCACCCCACCAAGATCGACCGTTTCGTCGAGAAGCCCGTCGAGTTTGTCGGCAACCGCATCAACGCCGGCATGTACATCCTCAACACCAGCGTTCTCAAGCGCATTGAGCTTCGCCCCACCTCGATTGAGAAGGAGACCTTCCCCGCCATCGTCAAGGATGGTCAACTGCACAGCTTCGATCTGCCCGGCTTCTGGATGGACGTTGGTCAGCCCAAGGACTTTCTTACCGGTACCTGCTTGTACCTCACTTCCCTCACTAAGCAGGGTTCCAAGGAGCTTGCCTCCCCTTCAGAGCCTTACGTCCACGGCGGCAACGTTCTGATTGACCCCTCTGCCAAGATTGGCAAGCACTGCAAGATTGGACCCAACGTGACGGTCGGCCCCAACGTCGTCATTGGCGACGGCTGCCGTCTTCAGCGCTGTGTCCTGCTGCCCGGTTCCAAGGTCAAGGACCATGCGTGGGTTAAGAGCACCATTGTCGGCTGGAACAGCACTGTTGGCAAGTGGGCTCGTCTGGAGAACGTCACTGTCCTCGGCGACGATGTGACGATTGGTGACGAGATCTACGTCAACGGTGGCAGCATTCTCCCCCACAAGAGCATCAAGGCCAACGTCGACATTCCCGCCATCATCATGTAAAACCAAACCAAACAACCCACAAAACACTATACCCGGGCCTGGACGAACACTCTGAGGGTCCGCGCTCTTCACACTTCTTGTCTGCACGCCTGTTCTTATCGACTTTCTAATTCCAAGTTGCGATACGATTCACCACTCCACTCATGAGTCTTCAAACTTGAAGAAACGGGGGGCGGAAACCAAACACTATATTTTTGGCTGGCGTCGGCAGGGGGAATCATTTGGCGAGCACAGAAAAGCACTTGGCTTTGCGATGTTTTACTTTTTATTTTTTCGTTTGGGAAAGATGATGGTCCCAATTTCGTTACGAATTGCAGACGAACGGTGTCGAGGGCTGTTTTCCCAGCTTGGAGGATATCTCCCGCGATGTACCGTGAACATGGAAGACTCCCAACCGTGGAGTCATCTGTGAGACAGATGACAATAAAGATGATACCTGTGAATTTGATGCTCTGAAAGTGCTCTGTGATGGTGATCATATATCGTGTTGCTCATGCGCATATCATGCGGGTATCTCGTGATTTGATGTGGGGGGAAGGAGGGGGTGGAGGTATAGATGACGGATCACATTTGCGCCTTCCCCGTGTGGGTGGGAGAGTGGGTGCAACAAGCAAGGCAAGAGACTGACTTGATAGGTATCCTGTCTAAACGAAATCAACTTTCCCAATATCATACCACCATCCAAAAATAGGCTTCTTTATCTTTTCTGTATACCAGTTACTCCGAAAAATCTCCAAAACCACATGTTGCTACACTTCTATTCCGCATTATCACGCACCCAACCCCTCGACATCTCAACAGCCTGCTCCCACTTTTTAAACATCTTTTGACTCGTCTCCTTGTCGAGCGCGGGCGTGAAGATCTTGCGCCCCGTCTGGTTGACGTGCTTGAGGTCCTTGAGCTCGTCCCAGACGCCCAACGCGAGGCCGGCGGCGATGGCGGCGCCGAGGGCCGTCGTCTCGCGCATGGCGGGCCGGTCGACGCGGATGCCGCTGATGTCGGCCTGGGACTGCATGCAGAGGTCCGAGTTGGAGAGGCCGCCGTCGACGGCGAGGTTCTCGAGGGCGTGGCCCGAGTCCTTGGCCATGGCGTCGAGGATGGCTTTGGTCTGGTAGCATGTCGCTTCGAGGGTCGCGCGGGCGATGTGGCCTTTTTGGGTGTGTGCTGTGATGCCGACTGTTTTTGGCATGTTAGTTGTGTGATTTGATCGAGAGATGATAACTTACACAGAGTTCCCTTTGCGTCGTCGATCCAGTACGGCGCAAAGAGGCCGCTGAACGCCGTCACGAAGACGACGCCGCCGTTATCCGGAACCGTCTCGGCCAGCTCCGAGATCTTAGAGGAGTCCTCGACAAAAGACAGGTTCTTGACGAGGAACTTGACGCCCGAGCCTGCGACCGCGATGCTGCCTTCGAGAGCGTACACGGGCTTCCTGCCCTTGCCGAAATCGTACGCGACGGTGGCCAGGAGGCCCGACTTGGATATGACGGGTTCCTCACCGACGTTATACAGCAGGAAGCAGCCCGTGCCGTAGGTGTTCTTCGCCTGGCCTGGGGAGAAGCCGCACTGGCCGACGAGGGCGGAAGATTGGTCGCCCAGGCAGCCTGCGATGGGCACGCCCTTGAGGACGCCGCGGGCAAAGGAGCCGAAGGCGGTCGGGTCGGAGGAGGGGACGATTTTGGGGAGGTGGATCTTGGTGCGGTCGATGCCGAAGAAGGAGAGGAGGGTGTCGTCGTATTTGAGGGTGCGGAGGTTCATGAACATTGTGCGGCTGGCGTTTGTCGAGTCGGTGACGTGGATCGCTGCGTCGCCCTTGTCTGCGCCGCCGTTGAGACGGTAGATGAGCCAGGAGTCGACGGTGCCGAAGGCGAGGTAGCCCGCGTCGTAGGCCTCGCGGATGGAGGGGACGTTGTCGAGCAGCCAGCGGAGCTTGACGGAGGAAGGGTAGGTGGACAGGGGCAGGCCGCAGAGGTCCTGGAGGGCGTCTGCGCCGGGGCGGGCGCGGAGTTCGCGGACGAGGGAGGTGGTGCGGGTATCGGGCCAGACGACGGCGTGGTGGAGGGGTTCGCCGGTGCGGACGTCCCAGAGGACGGTGGTCTCGCGCTGGTTGGTGATGCCGACGCCGCGGATGTTGGCGGCGGAGTAGCCCTGTTCGGCGAACTGGGCCATTGCCTTTTCGACGCATTCTTCGACCGAGGAGAGGAGCTCGAGGGGATCGTGCTCGTGCCAGCCCGAGTGCGGGTAGTGGTTCTCAAACTCGATCTGGTGGCTTGCCACAGGGTCGCCGAGGCCGTTGAAGATGAGGAAGCGCGTCGAGGTCGTGCCTTGGTCTATGCTGCCTACGAACCAGTGTTCCTTGAGCTCTTCTTGGGTCTCGGTGATGCCGGCTGGGAGGTGTTCGGCCGGGTCTGCGGCCACGCGCGGGCGTTTGGATTCTCTTGTCTCGGCCATTGTGTTGTTGGCGGTGCTGCTGTTGTGGTAGGTTGTTGGTAAGTCAAGAAGAGGAGAGAGGGGGAAGAGTGAGACAGAGAGAGAGAGAGGAAATACTAGGGGTATCTTGAGGGAAAAGAGGACGGAAACGAAGGAGGGGCCGAGGAAAGAGAAGCAGAAGAAGCTAAAGACTAAGCAAGCTGGGGCTCTGAGAACTTCAATGGGGAACGGGGGGAGCACGGGGGGAGCACGGGGGGAGCACGGGGGGGTATCACGCGGAGAGAAGAAGGAAAGTCGACAACGCCCCTGGGGTTGTACGGGAATTGTTTCTGCGGGCACGCGAATAGCAAAGGGGGCCGTAGGAGCCGGCGTGGGTGGCGGGGCGGGGCGGGACGGGGGGAAGACGGGAACAAGTCGGGATCGTGAATTTCGCGATGAAGCACGAGGCCAAGGGTTATGGAGTGAAGACGTTTATGTGTGTGTACAGGTATAGGTTGTGGTTCTTGTGTGTGGATGATGACTGACTGTCTAGCTAAATATGCCGTCCCTCGAGGAGGCTGGTCGGAGGTGGTGGTGGTGGTGGTACGGACGGCGGGAGACTGAGACTGAGACTTGGACTGAGACGAGGTATTCTTGGACTGTTCATCTCTTGAAGCTCTTACGTCTGCCAAAGCTGCGTCTACTCCAGCCGCACGAACACCGTCGCCGTTGGTATTAGTCTCAACCGTGTGTGCCGTGGCATTATTTCCCAGGGTCGTTGTCTGTGTCCGCCGCTGCGACGACAAATTTCGGACGGACATGTGCTGCGGCGGCCCCAGCTTCAGCTTCGCGCCGGCGCTCGGCATGATGTCAGAAGCGGACGTGGGGCGCTGATTGGAGGAAGAATTGAGGGGTTTGGGCGTCGCGCGAAGCTCCCGCCGCGGCGGCGTGCGACTGGGAGCACCGGTAGCAGTAATAGCTGCAGCCGTTTTGCACGTGTATGTCTTGGTCTTACCATTTTCACTAACCTCATCGACGCTCTCACCTGCCCGGCGGCTGTGAATGCCACGCCTATGGGTTGTCCATTGTCTCAATGGCTTCGAGCTCGACTTCAAAGTCAGACCCGGGCTGGTACCGGAGACGACGGGACCCAGAAAGGGGGAAATCCTGGGGAGTGATTGGGGAGGTTTAAGGACGCGTGAGAGCATTGGGGGGATTCAGGGGGGGGGGGTAATGAAGAGTTAGACTGGGTCTCTGTAAGTCGTAGATCGAGCTCGAAGGGGCTCGGGAATCGAAAGGATGTGCTGCCTGCATACGATTACAATATGGGTAGCGAATAATACAGGCGAATCATGAATGTCTGTTGAAGGATGTCGGTCGTTCGTCTTCGCGAAACTTTTTTGCGCCGCTGGCTTCGCGGGTGAAAATCCCGAGGTGCGTTTGATGGAGACATGGGGCTCTCGGGCATTGTCGGGGTCTCAAGACCGAGAATATCCATTTTGGCGCGCAATGAGTGACTAGGTCAATGGGTCTACTGGGGTCTGGGGTCGACGAGGTGACGGGCCTTCACCGAGGTGAGGGTGGTGAGCGGACTACCACCGACGCTCGGTTCTGACTACACCACAGTTGTAGCTTTTATGAGAGCCTTATTGAGGGAGCTATAAAGAGTAGGGAGTCAGTAGTCCGTTTATTTACCTGGACCTCATATACGGGGGAGTTTAGTTGTATAATTGGGCAATGTTAGGAGTGGCTGGCAAGACGGGGGACAAATGCCTAGAGTCTGCTGTTGCTCCTTACTCTACGTGTTTGTAGCTTGAGAAGCGCCTATTGCTTACGGTGTAGATAACGAAATAAATCACGGCATATCGTCTCGGTATTTGGTCAATTCAGGGGGGAATGGAAGGATTATACAGAGACGGTGATGGAAGTTGCTGGCCGCCTGTTCCAAGACTACTGGAGGGAGAAGTTTAAATGAAGAGTATTCTGTGATATTATAGGATTAGTATTGATTTCAAAATAGCAGAGGGCCAAGGAAGTGAAGTGATACGAATCTGAAAAGGAGGGTCTGCCTGATCCCTGGAACGCCATCTGCATTGTAGGAGTGCGTGTCTATTCTATGGACGAGGACCCTGAAGTTCGCGTCGTCATGGAAGGCGGCGAGCTTCTCGGGTGACATGGTAGTATCCCCTGGGGCCCTACGTCTATAGGATGGCTACATGTAGCTGCTGCTTTTCGCTAGCATCCCTTTGTCTATGTACACTGTTGACAGTTTGCCCTTGATAGAACTTGGCCAATGACTATTAGCACTCTAGTTCAAAGGGTCCTGGCCAGTCTTTGCAGACTTGACCCCATGCTGTCATGAACGGTTCCACCTAATACAAATACATCAGCTCTGAAGCCCATTTTCCCTTCTTCCTGTACCCCGATCCGGCTTCCAAACCTCAGACCTGTTACCACCCCAAGGATGGTTTTGATTGAAATCTCCTTGTCCGCATAAGATTTACAGTAAGTCAAAACAAATGAAAAAAATTACCTCTGCATCTTCACCAACTCCCAGCCGGCTTACACGAGACAAGAAGCAACCGCACCCCAGGCAGACTGGTTTCCGGGATTCAGGTCCAAAACTTGCGAGCCAGTCATGCTTTTGCTTATGCTCAAGAAAAGGGAGGCGAGGAACGCGCCCGAGACGACAACAAGGGGGAGCACCGGAAGTATTCTGTCGAGGATCATCTCCGGCCCCTTTAGTAACGTGGATAGAGTCGCATAGGAAAGCAGAATGAATAGAATGGAATAGCTGTATTTTGATTGGTGAGTTTCGTCGTCTTTAATAGTCGCTCGAGCGGGGGTTACCACATACGCGTTGGGCATCTTGGACATGTGACGCCATGTGAGGAAGAGGACACTGTCCGCAAGTAAAGCACTGCACCAAAGGCTGTTTATCCTCGTCAGTGTATGAACTATGAGAGCCTTGATGAGGGGCAGACAGCCCATTTGTACAGCAACGGGGCAATAGGCTCATCAATGTTAATCGCAATATAGACAGACACGACTGTTGCCGAGATGCCTCCGACTTTGCGCAGTATCGTGAGAACATGGCCGCGGCGAAGCCCACCGATTCGACGCCCGATACCGGTATTTCGCCAGATCCTATAGAGACAATCTGGTTTCGTATCAGCAACCGTTCTTTCTACTCGCAATCTTTGAGAAGAGAGGCAAAAACCGCACTCGGTGCTGTAGGTTGCTGGAAGCCTCAGGAGTCTCTGACGCCATGTAATCGACCTGTCTAGAGGAACCGACTCCCCAATCTGCTGGAGCTCTAGGTCTACCATAATCACAAAGACTGCGTCAAACAAGCCGTCTGCATAAGCAGGTAAAACCAGTGTTTGCTATTGGACTCCGGCGGTTGCGGATATGACCATGGGTTGTGGAGGGGACGGTGTTGAAGGCTTATGCCGAAAGGTCAAGGTTAGAGATGGAAGGAGAAGTTAGGGGCGAAGCCTGGTGAGTGCCCAGGGAGCCCAAGGTCTACAATTGTGTAACGCTACAATAAATGAGGCTGTATATGGGTTGCCTCTTTCCATGACCCAATCATCAGGCTGTCCTCGAAGGCACATGTGTACCGTCAAGGCTCATTGACGGGTTGGGCCGCACTTCACTTCCGGGAAGCGTCAAGCAGGCTCACAACTTCGCCGAAACATCAAACGCGCGACTTTCATACTTCGAGAGACAACATCTCCAAACCACTTCCTGCTGAATATGCGTGGAAACTTCGCAACCGTAGGAGAAGTCTTTGGGCTCGGCAGCGTCCTCCTCAGCGGCATAAGCGCTGTCAGAAGGAGAAGACCGCTGACATTGTCTAGATCCCTCAGCGCTGATATCGAGAAAAATGGTCCCGAGATGGATCCTTCGGAGAAGAAAATTTCGAGGCTCACCTCCCCCAGAAGCGGCTCGACAAGTGAGGACATCTCCGACTTGAAGAAACCTATGATAGCGCTTCTAGCTGCAATCTTGATTCTGCTGGGCTCAACAGCCCTAGACCTGTACGCCAAATTGGGTCAAGGCCAGACTGCCCTCGAAACGGCATCTCTGAAAGATGGAGGCTTCTCAATCAAACCTCATTCCTCTGGCGCGAAATGGGACCGTGTGTGGGATAAGATATTGGGAGAAAAGATGACAAGCAAGGTTTGCACCCCAGAGAGATCGCTTAGATCGGTGGCTAAATTGTATCTGCGCAGGCTGTCCATGTTATCTCGAGTTCGACGTCTGAAATACTGATTCTCGGGCTGGTTGCATACGGAACTGGGGCGTCGACATTATACCATCTGAACCATCGAGACAAGTACCGGGACACCATGCTTACCGGGGGCATTCTGCTCGGGTTCTGTCTGGGGATTATATGGGAGATGGACGGACAGACCATCCTCTTGCGTATCCTTCCATGGACGGTTCTCGTCGCTCTCTCGCTCAGCAATGCGAAACTCCAGTTCTACGGAACTTGAAACGGTAGTCTCCAGAGCAGCAAGTGTTTATATACGTGGAAACTATCGAAGCTTGCTGGCTTGACTTTTTTGTGGCATGGTAATGTGGAGGAACTGAGACGTGCGTGAACAGTAGTTTGGAAATACTGGGAGCGGGACCTCGTGAGGATGAATGGTTTGGGAACATTGCTACAATAGTAGCAAATGGGAATCAATGTTTGTGTCCGGGGAGATGATGGGTCTTTTTATGTATGACATAGTTACTGCGGGCCTAGAGCAGGCATCTAGTTCCAGAGAAGCCTTTATAGAATTGACCTCAGCAATTGATGGTTTGCCGCTATGTGCCCCTCTAAAATCTGGTGAGGTAAATAGACAGGCACAGAGATAACCATCCGGCGGTGTCTTTCTATTTTACGAAGAGAAGCTTGAATACATGTCACTGGTTCTTCTAGACTCTGTTTACTGCTACGAGAATGTCAACACTTCGAGATCCAGAGTGACTTCGTCGTTGCATCAACTTGAACCCGCCCCTTGCGACTTGACTGAGCACAGGACTGATTCGGCCTCAGTATTCAAGTTGTTATGCGTATAGGTTATAGTAGGTATAATTTCTGTTTACCATTTGATCCTAAATCACTGAGTACAAGTGCTTTTGATGTCTTCAGGCAGATGCTCAATGACCCAATATCGCTGGTCCCTATGGAGGAAGACCATTTCTACCCGTATGAGGCGCAAGTATCTGCACAACTTTGCAAGCTGCTAGTGATCCGAACAAACTTGGAAGGAAAAGCAATTATTTAGCTGAGGAATGATTCTCATCAAGGATGAGCATCAGTGGTCATACCCAGGGGATCCCACGAAGATGAAATGAAGACCGCACTTGATAGAGGCGGTCTTCCTCGGGCGCCCACAGCCACACTGCAGTTCTGAGGAATCCGATTAGTATTCATATCTTGCCTACCTCAGTACTAAGCGAGCTAACTGAGGCGATCACATGCCTTCGCAAAAGTGGGATCCAATGCTCAGCCTCATAGAAAAGATGGGCGCCACAATTACAACATGAGGCCATTCACAACCATCACTCACACGGGAATGTCAAAACCACAACCAAAACCGCCTTTTGTATGAAGCAAAACTGAAACCAATGCAACAACCGTACTCTACAAAAATAGGAGAAAAATATGAAGGACAAAAAAATAATACAAAAAAAAAAACCGTACACGCCCAAGTCCAGCCGAGGCTCGAACTTGCGCGTCTCGCGGGGCAACCAGGGAGAGAGCCCGATCGAGATATTTCTTTTCTCTCAGCGTGATGAGACTTACCGTTAGACCAAGTGCAATGTCTAACAGTCCGCCTCACCTGGTGAAAGCAAAGCGAGTTGGAACGCCTCATAATCGTCTGGACGGGCGGTGAATGGGGGCATGAGACGGGACGAGTTGAAAAGACAGCCAGGTGTGGGGCGGGGAGGTCAGGCAGGTAGGTGAAGTTGCAAATTACCTTGGGAAGGAAGGTGCGCCAGTTCAACCCAAAAACTTCCTGCCATACGACCCGGTCGTCTGTCTACCCAAGGTATATACGGCCTCAGTTGTGCGTGGATGGTCCAGCTACCGAGGAGCTCAGAGTGAACACCCTGGCTACCACATCTTGCTACGGCTTCATCGACACACCCCCTACGATGGCCGCATAAGTTTTCGAAACGAGAAGCCCATTACGCCATACAAGTACTGGCCAGTGCCCTCCAAAGAAAAATGAAATATGAGAGGAGAATCGATGGGTATCACAAACGGATCCTATCCTCCAACCACTCCGCAATGGCGTCTTCCCCACGCTCACCAAGCTCAAGCCCCTCATTCTCGCCAACCTCGACGACGGTCACCCGCCTCTCAGCCTCGGTCTCCACGTCAAACTCCTCATCCCACTGCAACCTCGCCTTGAACTCCAGCTTCTCCAAGCTCCGCCTCATCAACCCCGCCAGCTCGGTTGCCTGGGCTTCGAATGTGTGCCCAGATACCTTTCGTCTCCTTGCCGTCCTAGAAGCGAGTTCTCCGGCCATGGCCGACGCCATGCTGCTTTTCCTTGTCGTCTTACGCTCCACGACGGGCTCCGTAGGGGTATCATGAAGTAACAAAGCAGAAGGCAGCTTGAGCGTCGACTTTCTCGGCGGGAACACGAGGGCGCTGCGCCTCGGCGCCGTCAACAACAACCCTTCCGTGACGCCGAGGACATCAGCCGGCTTCACGTCCGAGTTGACAGAGGAAAGCCGTTCCAACAACGATGACACGGCCGCCGCCTGCACGAAGCTCGACGGCACGTTCATGCCAGGCGTCTGGAAGAGGAGACTAGGGCTAACAAACGGATCGAACAGGTCTACGGGCGCACGGAAGAGGTCCGCCATCTTCATCTGCAGCATATGCAGTGCCGACCCTTCCTCAGGCCGCGGCGGAAGCTTCTTGCTGCGCGCGGTGGCGGGCCTGTTGATCTTGTGGTCCGGGAGGAACATGGACCAGTTGTAGATGCCGTTCCAGGCGATCAGTCCGCGGACGGCCATGCGGGCGTGGTGGTGGGACTCAGTCAGGGCCAGGGAGGTGGCGATGCTGGCGCCGGCGTGGGAGCTGTAGACGTAGATGTCGCGACGGGAGGTGGTGCCGGGGGGTAGGAGGTTTTCCGTGACCCAGGTGTAGCCGGCGAGGACGTCGTGTAAGGGGGTGGGCCATGTGAGAGGTGTGGTGAAGTTGAAGTCTGGGGCGTGGTCATGGTCGGTTTCCGGAGAGGTGGGGACCGGGGCCTCGGACCGGGACGGGGACCATCGGTAGTTGATGACGGCCGTTGGGTACGGCATGAGGAAGTGGGGGATGGGGGTCAGGTGTCCCGGGGTTGGTGAGAAGGGCGGGATGTACAACACCAAAGGGGTTGTGGCGGGATGACGGTTCACATTGTGAAGGCTGATGTTTGCGTTAGAATTGAAGTCATGGTCTGATGGAATGGAGTGTGAGATATACTCTACTGTGATGGCCCCCGACGAGCGACAAGGCACGTCGACGGACTCGACGTCAGGCCTGTCAAGATGGAAACATCGTCGTTGGAAGACATGAGTTGGGCGCAGACGAGACGACAGCCAGGGATTCGGCCATCTTCTCATCGTCTAAGATTATGAAACGATAGCAGAGCTGGCCACTGAAAAACTCATGTTCAGTTGGTCGCTCACTCATACACTCATACTCATGTGAGTACTCAAATGAAAGTGTATAAGTTTGATGAGTGAGTTATCCGAGTAAACAACCAACTGCAATTCCCCAGACGCGTTTTTTTTTTCTTTCTCACTAAGGTAAGTTGAAGGGGCCACCCTCGGACCAACCAGCGGCCATTCCGTCTCATCCACACCACTACACCACGCCACCATCATCTCGGATTCTCCAGCCCTTCGTGTTTGCACCGCCGCAAACTGTCCCCCACACGTCACCGCTGCTAAGCTTCGAGTTCTTGGTCAAGGGTCCCCCTTCGACTCCCACTTTGTTGCAGTAGCGTCTACCACTCACCACCTGCTACTACCTACCCCAAGCGCCGGAGCAACCACCGCTGAAATGGGGCCAAGGGATCGCTGTGTCGAGAGAGATCATGAGCTCTGTCCTGCCGCATGCATGGGTGACCTGATCTGTCTGATGATTGACACCAATCTGTTGGCGACATGCGATCCGGGGGAGCACATTACATGCCAAGTGAAGAAAGAGATATATAAGTCTGAGTGCCAAGGACGAATGGTGCAAACGGTTATGGCGGATCTGGCGGCCAAACATTTCTTCAAGGGCAAAAGATCGCCGACCTCGCGAGGGAACCGCACACTCGAGAATCTGAGATGGTCAGACAAGAGATCATCCGGCCGTTTACGATCTAAACTAGGCAACGCAACAAAACGCCCGTCCGTTGCGTGGCTCGCTACGTACTGGAGCATCTCTTTTTTGACGTGTCTCAGCTATCTGATCAGTAGACGCGAAAAGGAAGAAAAAAGAGAGGAAAAACAAGGCGCGAGTGCACACCCTCTTCGGCATCCCCCAAACAGACGTCATGGCGAAGTGCCTTCATTCCCCTCCATCTGGGGCACCCCGGCTAGCACGGATAGCACTTTCAGGAGTCTAGACTCAATGTATCCTCAAGCTCGATGAAGAAAAAAGGAGATCTTAGGAATCCCCTCTTCTTCAACATTGTTATCAACTACGGCCAAGACCTGTCAGATCAGTCGTCCGCAAGACTCTAGTGTCGTGTTCTTGGGATATTTCCTAGGTAGCTTGCAGCAGCCGGGAATGCCTTCACCTTCGGCGGATCCACCACACCGCACCCGCTCATCTGCCCCCCGCGGCTCGCCGCTCGACCCAACCTCGACGCCGCCATGAACGACGCCGACCTGGGCGACAACATTGACGAGCGCATCGGCCAGCTCGAGCAGTCCAAAAACCCCCGCAGCAGCGAGAAGCGCTTCGCCAACGATGTCGCACACCTCGACCCGAGCCGGTGGTGGTTCGCCTCCTCCGCGTTCCCCATGATCGCCGGCACACTCGGCCCCGTCGCTTCGGCTTTCAGTATCTGCGCCCTCGTCCGGCCTTGGCGACAGCACTATCCACCCGGGACCGACATCACCACCGCCGCTTTTGAGCCGGATCCGAAATGGTCAGTCCCCGTCTCATTCAGACATCCGTAACTCGCTATGGGTGAGCCGTGCATGAACACTCACTACCAGAAGCTAACCATATATGCAGGCTCATCATCGTCAACGCCATCCAGCTCGCCATAGCAATCATCTCAAACGTCTTCCTCCTCCTCAACATGGCCCGCCGCGTCCGCTTCTCCCTCGCTCAACCCATCACCATCGTCGGCTGGTACATGTCCGCCATCTGCCTCGTCGCCCTCAACGCCACCGCCGCGGGCCCGCTCGTCATCGAACCGGCCGAGGAGTACATCTTCTCCCAGGCCTTCTACTATGGCATGTTCGCCGCCATCCTCTACTTCCTCACAGCCTCCCTCATGGTCGTCACCGTCTACGGCGCCTCCACGAGCCACTACGCAAAGGACTTCCAGCTCACCACCGCCCAGCGCACCCTCATGCTCCAGACCATCCTCTTCCTCTGCTACCTCCTTATCGGCGCTCTCGTCTTCTCCACCATCGAGAGCTGGTCCTACCTCGACGCCGTCTACTGGGCCCAGGTCACCCTCTTCACCGTCGGCTTCGGCGACTTCGCCGCCGCATCCCCCCTTGGCCGCGCCCTCCTCATCCCCTACGCTCTCGTCGGCGTCATCTCCCTCGGTCTCGTCATCGGCTCCATCCGAAGCCTCGTCCTCGAACGCGGGCGCCGTAGGCTCGACGCCCGCATGGTCGAGAAGAAGCGCCGCCAGCTTATCCGCACAATGACACGCAAGGGCAAAGACCAGATCCTGAAGCCTATCCACCCAGACACCACCGAAACTTCTGCATCCGCCGCCTCTTCTCCCACTCTACCCGGCACGGAACTCGAGCGCCGCGAGGAAGAGTTCAACCTCATGCGCAAGATCCAGCACCAGGCCTCCGCCCGCCGCCGCTGGATGGCCATGTCCGTCTCCTTCTCCTCCTGGCTCATCCTCTGGCTCGTCGGCGCAAAAGTCTTTCAGGAGTGCGAGCGCCCCTACCAGAACTGGTCGTACTTTGAGGGCTTCTACTTTGCCTTTGTCACCCTCACGACGATAGGTTACGGCGACCGCACCCCCGTCTCCAACTCGGGTAAAGCCTTCTTCGTCTTCTGGTCCCTCCTCGCCCTGCCCACCATGACGGTCATGATCTCCAACGCCGGCGACACCGTCGTCAAGGCCGTTCGCGACGCCACCCTTGAGCTCGGTAACATCACCATCCTCCCCGGCGAGCGCGGTTTCCACAAGGACCTCATGTCCGTCCTCCACCGCCTCACCTGCGGCTTCCTCTTCCACCCCACCGACGAGGATTCCGACGACGACTCGGATGAAGAGGACGACGCCCTCCCACCAGGCTTCTTCTCAAACACCCACCGTAGACGTCGGGAAGAAAACGACGAAGACGACAACAACGACGAAGAAAGCGACGAAACAGAAGCCTACTCCACAGTCCTGGACCGCGAAACCTCCCGCGCTCCACCAGCATTCTCACCAGAACCAAAAGACTCGCAAGCCCGTCCATCACCCCGCGACCGCCAAACCACCACCACTACAAGCAAGACTACAAACACCAACACAACCCGCCGCCGCCGCCCCTTCTCCCGCATCCGAGACCCCACCTCCGCCCTCCCAGCCTCCCGCGCAGACTACCACTTCCTCCTCATCTCCGAAATCGCCGCCGTCCGCCAACACGCCAAAGAAAAGCCCGCCAGGCAATACACCTTCGCCGAGTGGGCGTGGTACCTCAAACTCATAGGCGAAGACGAATCCAGCTCCGCCACGCACCGCAAAGCGCGCCCGCACATCCACTCCAAGACGAAGGCGAAGAAGGCAGTCAAGAAACGACGGCGTAACGGGGCTGTTGATGAGGAGAATGCAGAGCACACGGAAGCAGAGTGTCCCGACGAGAACAAGTGGTCCTGGGTCGGCTCGCAGTCGCCGCTGATGGGTAGTCAGGAGGAGTGCGAGTGGATTCTGGAGAAGTTGACCGAGAAGCTGCGGGATGAGCTGGACGTTGTGCGCGGCGAGGAGCTCGAGAGGAAGAGTACGGTGGACAGAGAGCGGGATTTGGCTGATGAGAGGAAGGGGAGGGAGGAGATTGATGAGTTGTTGAGATAGTGATACCCCCCTTCTTGATTTACCATTTGGTTTTCTTTCTACGGTCATATTCTGAGCATATTGTCACATTGGACATTTCCTACTTGGTCGATGTATATCATAGCTAGTACGTGCTACGATCTAAAGCACACATACAAGCAAGACGGCATAAACTCAAAGACTTGGTTGTTTTCCACATCCATTCAAGTAAAAATACTGTATCCACACGAGGCCACGAGACACACCCTTAATAGGCTACACAAAGAGGCACCTTGATATCTCTGAGCGAAAAGGGGGTATCAGTATCATTAAGTTTTATCCATCCCACATGAGCATGCAAAAAAGCTCCAACCGTGGAAAAGGCTATCCGGTATGCCAGTAGTCCTAGGGCATTGCTTCCTCAAGAATACAAATATACATACACTACCGCTACACGTATCCAACATGCAGCAAAAAAACATGCTCATATCAAAACGCTTTCCCAAAACGCTTCGAGGAGCCTCCAGCAAGTCCCCCCCCCCCCCCCCCCCCCTCCGTATACCCAACAAGGTACGTACGCTTCGTCACACCCCTTCTGTAACGATAGCCGTCTTCTCCTATTCAAGAAGAAGAAAAATCTTCACCACCTCATTCCACTCCCAGCAACGCCAGAGAGCAAATCCACCACCGTTCCAACAACGCCGACCCCCAGCGCCAGGGTCTGCACAGCAACAGCCACAATGACTCTTTCCACGAGATCCAAGAGACTCACGGCTAGTCATCTGCCGATGAGAAGTCTCCGGTTACGCTTCATGGCCTGATTGAGCCCCTTCTCCAGCTTTTCCGTCTCCTTGCGCGCAATACCCAACGCCGACTCGGCATCCTCGACACTCATGAGCGACATAGCATTGAGCGGTGTGCCAGGCAGCTTGGGGTGCACAGCGCCAGTTCTCTGCTGGGCGTCCACCTGTGCGGCGGCGGCCGCCATGGTCGAAGGGGAGGCGTCGGTGACGAAGCCCTCGTTACCCTGCTGGTGCTGTGGCGAGTCCAGCCCTCCAAAGGGTGTCTCGTCCTCGGGAATGTCCTTGCCTGAGCCACCGCTTTCGGCGGAGTAGATGCCCGCACCCGCAGCTGCGTCATGACCATAGATGTACGGGGCGAGAGAGTTCAGGCTGGCGGCGGCAGTCTCTCGTGCAGACAAGGCGTCCTTAGCACCAGGTGCAGATTTCCAGCTGCCCGGGAACAAGTTGGTGTTACCCAAGTTGAGACGCGGGAGAACAAACTGGTTGATGTAGCTGATGGCCTCCTCACGCTGAATCTTATTGACAGGGTCATCGGAGAACATCTTTTGTGCGTTGGGCGAGGGTGGGAAATAGGATGGGGGACCGTTGGGTACCGCTCTGCCCTTGATCAGGGAGAAGCCACCCGGACGGGCCTGGTGGCGGGGCGCAACAAAGCTGTCGGGCTGATCACTGCCAACTGCCACAGACTTTTGGAGCGCAAGATATCTGCCTTCTTCCTCTTCGGTGAGATTTCTCAGACAATCTCCATTGGGCGTGATGAGTACACGCTGACCTTCCATCACCTTGCGCACCGGCTGACCTGTAAGTAGGACAGCATGGTCTGCCTCGGACACCATATTCTTGGTCGTAGCCGAAGGAGGTGGGTTGTTGCTCAGGGTTGCAGCAGAAGGCCTGTCAAAGCGAGAGTGAGAGTCGAGGAAAGGCTTGAGCAGGGCAAGTAGTTCCGCGGTAGGAACCTCGCCTGCTTCATGCAAGGCATGGTAGACATTTTCGGGCCAGGTGCTTGGGTTGTCTGCAATATCCTGAGGTTCCTCGGGTACAGCAACAGCTGTGGGCGCAGGAGGCGTCGGAGTAGGCGTTGTTGGTGTGCCTTCCTTACTCTTGCCCTTCTCCTCCGCTGCCTTTGCCATCTTGGCAGCTTGCTTGGCAGCCTTGCCTTTGGGAGGGGGCAGGTCCACCACCGTTCTCTCGACGATGGGCTTGGGAGGAGGGGGCGGAGTTGCGACACGCTCGACGGCTTTCTTGACTGGCGTTGGGGCTGCGGTGACTGGCTTCTCCTTCTTCTGCTTCTTCTTGCGTCCGAGGATGGGGGCTTGCTCTTCAGTCTCCACAACTTTAGGCGTAACAGTAATCGAAGCAGACTGCTCCTTGTGGGCCTCCTTCCGCTGCTTGCGCTGCTGACTCTTTGTTGTGTTGCGAACAGGTGCAGTTCCCACTCTGGTAGGAGGTGGTGAGCTGGTGCGCGAAGCAGACACGGACGCGGAGACAATAGAGGCACTATCGCTAATGATTTCGCTAGCCGGGGTTCCAGGACGTCCAGACGCGGACGACACAGCTCTGGCGGCTGCAGAAAACGCGGCGCCAGATGGTAACGCTGGAGGCACTTCGGCTTTGGGCGTCGGTACAACGCGCAAAGTCTTGGGCGCTGTCCTCGCGATAGGCGATGCCACACTAGCAGTTGTCGGTGTTGGCAGGGCTGGGAAGGCCGAGACGTCTGATTGCTCCGTGATGGTCGTCTCTGGTTGGTTCGGCTGAGCTGCGCTGGTAGCGGCGGCAATGTTCAAGATGCCCGGTACGGGTTTCTTTTCCGCAGCTTTGGTAGCTTTGGGCGCCGCTTCAGCAGCCAGCACGGGAGACAGCCCTGAAGCCGGGGTCGCGGCCTCTGGTTGAGGCTTCTTGATGCTCGCCGGGGCGATCTTTGGAGTCGCAGCCGCAGACTTTGCTGGGGTCGCAGGCTGTGGGACATTTCCCAACGCTGGGAAATCCTCCTCCTGCAACTGCACCACAGACTTGCCCTTGGAGGGAGATGTCTCAGAGGCAATATCCTTTGAGAGCCCACTTTCAACAGCCAAGGCTTTGATGTTCTTCTTGGCTTCCGTCCCACTGGCTTTCTTCCGAGGGGTCTGATCCGGCGTGCCAGTCCGCACGATGTTAGCCATGGTAGGAACTGCTGGCTTGGGGGCCGAAGGCGTAAGTGGCGTGACGGGTATGACGGGAATCGGCGCTTGTCGTGGAGCTGGCGATGCAGTTCTCTGTGGAGGGCCGAGACCAGGCGGCGGGGTCGGAGCTGCTGGTCGTGATAGTCCGCCAAGAGTACCAACGTAGCTCGGCAGGGGGTCATCAGAGACCAGCTTGTCCACTGATAGAGTCGCTTCATCGTCGAGCGAAAAGAGATCGTCATCTAGGGAACCAGTTAGCCAAGGGGTTCCCTAGTAGTGTTTCTTTGAAGACAAGTAAGGAAAAGAAGAGACAAGAAAGCATGGTAGCAGCACGAGAGACAACGGTTTATATACATGGACAAGGATTTACAGGAACGAGACAAGTCACAGCTGCCATCATCGTCTTCCGTGATGATTTGCGAGGACAAACGAGCGATAAGTATGAGCAACGTGCTATATTGGTCCTTTTGCCACCCCCATCCTCACTACCGGAGGACGGTCTGTAAGTTAACGTACATTGAGGCGACTGGAAGACGATGATGGCTTGCCTGACTGACGTGACCCATTAACCATGACGACGTGCGATCCCAAATGAAAAGAGGTATAATGCCGAGACGAAGTGTAGGTGTCGGTCCTTGCTTGCCCAGAAGAAAACGTGAAGCGACGCCAAATGCAATCCTTGCCACTCTCCCCTGAGCAGCCCTGATGTTTTCCGCAATGCTCGCTGAATCAATGCGTGTGTAATGTGCGGTGCGCTCTCGGTCCCTTTGAAGGACGGTCGTCCGCCTGTGATATGCCGCGACGCCCTCCCCCCCATGATACATGAAGTGTAAAACAAAACCCGTAAACGACCAACACCAACACCTCATCTATCGCGTTGTCTCTCGAGGCTACCAGCCTGCGCCTGGGAAACGCGTATTGTACATCATGTTCGGGTTGTACCCACCTTGGCTCTGTCCACCGAACAGTCCCTGTCCGACTCCAGCGTTGCTCTGCGACTGGTGTTGCATTCTCGCTTGCAGGATACTCGGGTCCGCAAGATCAACTAGACCACCTCCTCCAGAGGAGGAAGTGTTAGCATGTCTGTGCTTCTTCCCCTTCTTCTTCTGCTTGGGACCGAAGTCTTGGAATGCTCCAGGCTGGTTACCGTAGAGCGACGCCAGGAGGCCCGAAGCAGGAGCTGGGGTGGAGGAGGTAGAGGATGGGTACTGATTAGAGAAAGAAGATAACATGTACTCACGCTTACCAACATCATGACCCTGTCCATTGGTTCCCCGACCCCGAATCAACGTCTGGAGAAGCTCGGCGGAATCCTTGGAAGTCGCACCGAAGGCGCCACCGAACTGGCCCTGTCCAAACATGTTTGGCGGAGTTCCTGTCGACTTGAGACCTGGAGGAGGTCCGGGCATGGAGGATGCATAATATTGGCTGCCGGGCTGCGAGTGGAAAGCGGAAGGCATCATGGCCGTCTGCTGAGCCATGATTCTGGGGTTGGCGGCAACCTTGACTGAAGCTGAAGTGCCGGCGGTGTCATTAGCGAAGCTGAACCTAGATCCTTGTCTGTTGTGGCCGCCACCTTGTTGCTGAACCGCAGAAGGCTGCGCAGTTGGAATGCCCGGAGGCAGATGGTCGCCGAAGCCGCTCTGGGATCGAACGAAGAGCTGTTGTTGAGGTGTCATCGATCGGCTGCCACCGACGGAACTAGCAGACACGGAAGCTTGACCGAATCCAGAGCCAAGCGCGGGACCAAAGGGGCCGTCGGCGTTGTTGCGCTGGATGGGAGGCTGGGTGCCAGGTCTACGCTGCTCAAAGACGACGTCGCGAGCAACATCTCGGTCTTCGGGCTCGCCACCAAGCGCCAGACTACCTCCAGTCTCCGGCTCGCCTTCCGAGGCCTCTTGAGGTTCGCTTTGTTGCTCCTGATCCACGCCAAGGCGCGACTCCTCTTCTTCGCGCATGGCTCTTCTCTTCTCGCCTCCGCGGGTGTCGAACATGGGAGGGTAAATCGTCTCGATCTGGTTCGTGTCCGGCGCATGGTAGGAGAAAGGGCAGCCCTGCATAGCTTTGAGCAGCTGTCGAAGTAGATTCTCCGGAAGGCTGTTGGACTTTCGGGTGTCAGCGGGAGCGGGAGTGGGAGCGGGCGCCTTCGAGGCCTTGGTCTCGGTCGGGGGTGCGGGAGTTTCCTTTCTGGAGGGGGTCTCGTCGATGGCCTCGGGTACTGCCTCGGTGGTAACGGGGAGAGCTGTCGAAATTGCAGGGCTTGAAGCGGCGCCACTAGTGGCGTGGCTTCCCCGGCGACTGCGCTGAGGATTTCTTGCCCAGTTGGCAGAGGCAGGCAGAGCTGGTCCGTCGCCGCCATTCTCGGAGCCGTCCTTGCTTGAGGAACGCGCCATAGGTTGAGAGGCGGGAGCCGCAGGCGGTGCGGTATTCTGTTGTCGAGAAGCAGTGCGAGACGGTCCGCCACCGCTGCTGGAGGAACCACCTCCCGGGAGGGGCCGCTGAGAGCTGATGCTGTTCATCGAGGACAGATCTTGTCTAGTGTAGCTGTCTTCCTCGTCACCCAGCTCATGCAAGAACATGCACTGCCTGTTGGTGCACTGTTCGTGCCGGAGCCAGGCCGAGCAGTACTTCGTAGTACCGAGCTGGGCTCTGAGAACGCGATCGCCATTCTGAGAACCGTTGACAGCCTGGATGCAACGTTGGGCGTCTTCCTTCTTCTCGAAAGTCACATAAATTCCGAGAGACTGGTGTTGGCCGTCCTGGCTCTTCCGACTGCTAATCGAGATTTTCAGGATGTTGCCGTATTGACCGAAGAATTCGGGCTTGCGAAGCGTCTTGAGTAATTCGTCCTCTCGCACTGTAGGTGTCAGACCGGTCACGTAAACCAGGTTCTTCTGAACGACCCGGACGCCGATGAGGTTCTTGCGGTTTTCCTTCTCAACCTCGCGCTTTTGAACCTCCTTCTGCTTCTGTTCCACAGCTCGCTTCTTCTGGTTCTTCTGGATGTTTGCTCGAAACTCGGCGACCCTAGTGTTTGTCAGCGTGGCGTCGACCCAAGTGGAAGGAGGGGTACACACTCTTCTGTAGTGACGACCTTCCACTGGATTGTCTTCTCGTCGTAAGGTCTTCGGCATGCAGGACACAGGCCGTTCATGTTGTTCTTGATGTTGTTGAAGCAGAACTGGCACACCTATGAAACGGTCAGAGGTCGATGTTCTTCTCCAGCGGCAGGAACGTTGGAATTTGGGTATTGCCGTCGCCATACCTGGTAGCCGCAAGGGCAAGGTCTGAAGTTCCGATCTGAGAGGTCGAACTCCTCGATACATAACGGGCTGTGGTGGAGAGGGTTAGTTCACGATGCCCAATACCTCGAGGCCTCATGCAGGTGCTGCGTGCAAGATGCGCGCGAGGCCAGAAGTCAGAAGTAGGGTCACATACCATGTATCATCCTCCTCGTCGATGAATGTGTCTTGGGGTGCCATGGCGACGATCTGTGGCGGTAGGTATATTTCGTGGGGTGCGGGAAGGTTGGGTGTCGATTTGTGAGTGGAGGTGGTTAGGAGAGGGAAGTTGCACAATACCAGAGGTGAAGCCAAAGCCTTTCTTGGATGGGTCGTCTGCTGCACTAGAGCGTGGTGCCTTAGGTAAGATGGCCCCACAGGCCACCGTCACGTGCTGGACACCAATGACAAGCCAATCAAGGGGCCGAGAATATTGCAAGTCAGCACAATTTAGGTCCACCCCTCCCGGTCGCTTTGGCAATTGTGAAGGAAAGAACGCTCTCGAGTAATGGCGAGTGCGGTTGCTCTGATTTTTGAAAGGAATTCGTGAATGTCAAAAAGGTGCTCAATATTGGCAATTGTTTTTTGACTAAAACTTTGAGTCTTTTAGATTTTTTGCCGCAAGGATTTAAACAGTCAAGACACAGAGGTTGTGAGCAGCACGTCCAGCCAGTTTCCCGGTACCTTCAAGTACGCTTCACTGTCGCAAGTACCACCCTGGGGGGTGGACCTACGCCGGTTAGCTTCTTCCAATCCCCAAGCATCGCGAATGCACAGCATCATCAATCAACTTCCCCAGAGGCAACAAGCCCCCCAGCACTGCAACAACCGCAACAATGGCGACAAAGCTCTATCGTGGTAGAGCTCTGGCGGGCTTGCGCAACTGCCGCCCCAGCGAGATCCGATCCTTCTCAACCTCAATCCCTCAATTGGCCGGCTTCCCGACCGGCTTTCCCAAGGATGCCGAAAACATGAGGAAGTCTCCTCGCGAGCACATTGGCACCATCAAGGCTCCCCTCATCAACCCTGCCGACAAGTACGGCTCCAAGGCCGATAACCTGCACAAATACGGCTCCTGGATCATGGGCTGCTTGCCCAAGTACGTCCAGCAGATCTCTGTCTGGAAGGACGAGCTCACCATTTACGTCTCTCCCTCGGGAATCATCCCCGTCTTCTCCTTCCTCAAGTGTAAGTGTCAATTGATCTACCAAGTAGTTTCGCGCTCATCTAACAACCCATAGACAACACTTCGGCCGAGTACACTCAGATTAGCGACATCACTGCCGTCGACTACCCGACCAGAGACCAGCGATTCGAGGTCATCTACAACCTTCTCAGTGTCCGCCACAACTCGCGCATCCGCGTCAAGACCTATGCCGACGAGGCTTCCCCCGTTCCCAGTGTCACTTCCCTCTTTGATGGAGCCAACTGGTACGAGCGTGAGGTCTACGACCTGTTCGGCGTCTTCTTCGCCGACCATCCCGATCTGCGCAGAATCATGACCGACTACGGTTTCGAGGGCCACCCCCTGCGAAAGGACTTCCCCCTCACTGGCTACACCGAGGTCAGATACGACGAGGAGAAGAAGCGCATCGTCACCGAGCCTCTTGAGCTTACCCAGGCTTTCCGCAACTTCGAGGGTGGCTCAAGTGCCTGGGAGGGAGTTGGACCTGGCACGGACAGACGCCCCGACACCTTCAAGCTGCCTACGCCGAAGCCAGAGGAGAAGAAGGAGGAGCCGAAGAAATAGATCAGAAGATTCTGATGTGTATATAACTGACTCTAGAATCTTCTTTGTTGTACAACCATTCTGTGTTCCACTATTTGCTTGAACCTTGCGTGGCTGCACTGAAATGCTGATGAGCAGCGTCCTGCTGGCTCTGCGCCAATGACCAGAATGCCTCCTGATATGATAAGGGGTTCTCAATGTGCCCCATGGTTCCAGAGAAGTCTCGCCAGATACATGATTAGTAGCCTCGACCCAACGGTATCCAATGTCGGGCTTAAGACTGACTATCCATCAAGGTCAACCAAACTGGACTCAGTACAGACTGTATTCCCCTCTTCTGCCTGATGTATAAGGAGGACGTTGGCTCTAGACTGGTAACCAGGGCCCCCAGAGGCATCAAGCGTGTCCCAGGATTACAGTGAAGCATCGCCAGGTGCCGGATTATCAATCTCAAAGCCAACCCAACAAGGTAAATCCAGAGTGAGCCATGGTAATGTCTGTGAGTGAGCAAGTAAAGGACGTCAATTTCAGAACTGTTGACGGCTTATTACCTAGGACCGCGAGGGTGTCGGACTTGTCCCATGGTATGTATCGGAGAAACCTCACCAAGTGCCACCCAAACCATCAACTCAACCTCTAAGGCCAACACCGTGTTGGACTTGACACTGATTGTAATATCTTTTCTACAACATATATAAAGGCAGCTGGTCTGCTGAAAAGTCGTCATTGGTTTCTGATTTCTCCATCCTCGTCACTCTCAGACTCAACACCTCAGCTCTTCACCTCTCACTTGAATACTCAAAGACATCACGCTCTTCATACCAACTACTACTCTCCTCTTACTTCACTCCACACTACAGCCAAGATGTCTTTATTCACCATTTCCACTTTTCAGCTCTTATCTGCGGACAAGCTGGAGGAGCTGAGACACGAGGCCAAGATGCAATTCTACCAAACCCATACTCTGTACCTCGCATTTTGCGATGTTGCCCTCGAGGACTACGTCGATGCCTTCATTGAGGGATACTACAAGCACCAGACCTGCGCCACTTCATCCTCTTCAGTCTCGCTCGCCTCAGACGATGCTTCAACGAAGCCAAAGTCTAGGTTGAGACGTCTTCTTCAACACATCACCAGAAAGAGGCTCTAGATGGACAATTTGCTCTTTTTGCGACCATCAAACCCACACATACACGATTCTGGTCTGCTTCTAGTACAGCAATTGGGCGCCATACTCTCTCCACTCCGGAGAAGACTACTGAGATGAGTCCTCAAGGACTAGCAAAGGGTCGATGTCATGCCCACGGGATCGTGAACTTTGCAACATGACATTGGCCCTACGAAAGGGATTCATATCCGCTAAACAACAAGGGACCTACCGGCTCAAAGCATGCTCTGCCATCTCTCACAGGCTCAGGAACAACATAAGATGGGCAAAAAACCGCAACGCTGTTCCAAGAACTTCACGTCGGCCGTCTCCTCCGCCCTCCAACAGTCGAGTGCAAGGCATCGGTCTGTCCGGAGCTAGGGTTTAACGGCAGGAAGAGCCCATCACTTCTGTTGGGGCCAGTGCTCTCGACGTCCCTTGAAAATCCGCGGGAAGGAATCATCCTCACGCCAGGTCGTACTCATCAAGTACACCTCCAAGAAGCAAGTCATAAGCTGGAGCACTTCGACTTCCACTTCTACCACTGCCACCACTACAGTTGGTATACATGTCAGCAGGGCATAGTCTTTCGGCCAGCACGAAGCTCAATAATCGCACGTTCAACTGCGTATATGTATTTGCAGAGAGGAAGAAACTGGCGAAGCCTATCGATTCCTCCGAAGTGGAAGTAGGTGGAAGGGCAGTTTGCACGGCCCATACCGCCTTTCAATTCTACCGTCTGCCCAATAATCCAATAACTACTCTCACCACTACTCTCACCACTACTTCGCTTCAAAGACTGCCTAAGAGTATCAAAACTGCCAATATTTGGGCTTCCGAGAAAGGAAGATGGTAGTCATTGTCGCCATACAACGGTACAATTACAAGCTTGACCCTGATCAGACCTCTGCAATGAATGATCAAGGCTGCTGTCACGCGTCCAGCTCAGCGCAAGGCTGACATTATCAACGCCAAGAATCAGTTTTCATGGAAGGAGGAACCGAGGGGCGCAGGAGGCTTGCTACACCAGAATTACCTGTAGCGAAATAAAAACTTTTCAAACAATTGAAATGCATGCTTGATTGTGAACCACACAGGCCTTGGCCTTCGTAGGATGTCTACGTGTATTGCACATCGGGAGGGTAAGCTGAGTACTTTGAGTGAAAGACCAATAGGAAAGAGGGCCTGAGCCGAGACTATTCACTTAAAGGGAAGCACCATCCATTGCATTTCCCCGCCGCCGCGCTAGGTGCATGTGATGTCACCACGTCCCACACGCCACTACACGCGTAAATCAATCCCACACTCGAGTACGCGACGCGCCCTTCGAACTGAACGAGATCTAGTCTCCGAGCAAATGCGCTGACACCTTGCCTGTCAACGTTACACACAATTGCACATTTCAACGATCTGCGCGCTCTGGAAGCGATCAAGCTCACGCCTTGCGGTGACGGTTTGCACCATTATCCAACATGCCACCACAAACCCGCTCCAGCGGCCGGGCTCCCGCCGACCCATCTCCCGATCGAGTCTATAAGTCTAGCAAGCCGGCCAAGCAGGCCAAGTTCCCGCATCGACGAACCGAAGTTCGAACGTATAGCAGTCGTAAACCAACCGCTCGTATTGCCAACCACCAGCAAAAAACCTTGACCCAGATGTTTGAGACCACGCGCTCGTCGCCGGTGCGCCTTGATCTGTCCGACGACGAAGAAGAACCTAAGTCTAGGAAGAGGAGGAGAAAGACCATGGGAGACGAACCGACGCCCAGCTCGTCCTTTCACACCCAGACGTTGACGCAGATGTCGCGAAGATCATCTGAGAAATCACCAGGAGAAGAGGAGGACGAGGACGTATGGCAGTTCCAGCCTTCGGACGACGAGGCGGAAAAGAACCCGCCGGTGCTTCCTTCCGCCAACGACAAGGAAAATCAAGTGCCTGGCAAGAAGCAGTCGAGCAAACCGCCGAGCAGGACACCTTCCGTCGTTCCACAGACGCCAACAAATAAACGCGTTATTCTCGAGATTCCATCGTCTGCAGGTAGCCCTCTCACCCCGATGCTGGCCAGGTACAGCCCGGCGCCCAAAAGGTCTCCCTTGAAAGACAAGTCTACAAACACAATGTCACCCATCCCGAAACTCAACACATCCGTCAAACGCCCGCGAACTCTCACAGTCCAGGATTCTTATGCGACGACTGGCAGCCAGAGCTCGAGTCAAATTATATCGCCCAGCAAAATGCCACTGCAGCCCACCAAGAATGTCCGTTTCATCACACCCCATCCTACGGCCAGTCTAGCTCCCATGGAAGAAGACGAGGAAGAGGAAGGAGATCGTGAAGTCAGCCCATCCCCTCGCAGACCACAGAGGTCGCCTCTGGTCGAAATTGCAGATTCCGAGGATGAATTCGATAGTCTCGAAATCCTGGACGAGGAAGCTGAGGGGTACGATGCCGTTGGCGAAGACACCCAGTTTCAGATGGACCAGATTCTTATCTCTTCAGAGGAGAATGTGACCTCCGAAGAAGCGTCCCCTGCGGAGGAAGGCGACTCTGATAAGGAAAACGTCGCCCCTGCCGCCAGAGAGGACGACGATGATGAGGAAGAAGAAGAAGAAGAGGAGGAGGAGGAGGAGGAGGAAGAGGATGCGACAGTGGTTTTATCAAAGCCATTTGTTTTTGCCAAGCTGGCACGCGAGGATTCGCGCAGAGAGACTGTGGAGGTCATCACGTCGTCCCCAGAGCCTACACACACCAGCGGCTCAAGCGTTCTTCAGACAGCGAGTAGGGAAACCAACGACGAGTCCGTCTCCCAGACGACACCCACAAAGAGCCAGAAAACTCCCAAGGCTAAGGGAAAGGCGCCTGTCGAAACACCAAAGACTCTCGAAACACCAAAGACGCCCCATACCCAAGGACTCGAGAGCCAGCGGCTGCCCTACAGTGTCATTCACGGCATGGGACGCCAGGGCGATCGGACCGACATTTTCATTTCCATCCATCCCGAGCATATGGAGGCCATCGTGGCCGGTGAGAAAAACCACGAATTTCGCAACTACAGAATCCCACACACTGTCACCCGAATGTGGCTTTACGTTACGAAGCCTGTTGCAGAACTTCGGTACATGGCATGCATCAGCGAGGCTAGATCGCCTGGCGAGATTGACGAGGATGGGATCGGTAACGCGGAGTTCAACCAGCATAAGACATCCAAGTTTGCGTACCACTTAAAGAAGGTCTTCCAGCTGAACGACCCGATGCCTTTACAGGAGATGATGGATATGGACTGGCTTCATGGACCACCGCAAAAGTATAACTACGTGCCGCCCGCCGTCGTCGGACAGTTGATGGCCAACCTGCGCTGTTGCGTTGTCGGTAACGACGAAGAAGAGGATGAGGAAGATGTACCGGAACCCGAGACCGGCAGGAAGGAGTCTCTGCCGGCAGCCAGAGGGCCGTCAGAAGAGCAGACGGTCTCCCAAGAGCTCCTTGAGCAGTTCAGAAGCGACATCGAGCACTCCACCCAGCACCACTCCTCCGACGCCGACCTGCTCGTACCGTCAAGCCAGACCCCGACCAAGAATCGCGGCGGCCGAAAGTTCGGCACGGAGCTCCCCCACTTTACCAAGCCGGCTCTACCTCCGACGCCCCTCAGCCGCCCGCCTAACCCGACGCCGCAGCGCGCGGTGCGGCCCTCGCAGGCGACGACGGTCAGCCAGGCGTCGAGCCCCTCCCAGTCGCCCGTTAAGTTCAGGTCTGCGCCGCGGCGGCCGACGCGCTCGAACAATAACTCGAGCCTGCCCATCTTTGTGGACGACGAGGATGAGGACGACAGTCCCGTTCACCTGCCGCTGGGCACGTTCCAGATGGATTCCTCGCAGTTGCTGTCTAAGAGCCAGATGCTGCCCGAGAGTCTGCTGCGTGATGACGGCGGTGACGACGACGATATTATTGTGTTTGATTCGGATCAGGATGATGAGCTGTAGGAGCTCGGTTTCGATGTGCCTTTGAGGTACTTACTACTCGATTGTAATCGGAGGGGGTGAGGTATTGTTGGTATTTATGTTTTTAAGCGTTGGAGTTTGGTTGAGCGTCGGTTGGCTTGCGAGCCTCTGGAACACGGGCAATAAGAATGGACACAATGGCTGGATTTGGCAGGTAGGCTGGGCAGGTATGTAATGGTTGTTATTCGAGAGCACGATTATTGCTTCGCCAATAGTGGTAGAATTGAGTCTGCTTGATGTTATGCTCAAACTCTCCCTCTGAACTACTCAACCATGAGCCCTCCTCTTCCACGATAACCTTGCCTGAGTACTGGAGGTAAAGGCGTGCCGGAACGGTTTCCTCGCGTGGAGGTTGAGAAAGCCCCGGCGAACTACAGGACAGTCACCTATGGGAAAGTACCGTCCCTCGCAGAGGACAGAGGCCATCGCCCAGGTGACAGGTCAAATAAGCACCCACACAATCACCAGCACCCCTCGGTGAAGGACCACGATCACGTGTACCCGTATATTCATCCCATCAACAAGAATACACCACAACCGAAAGCCCATATATACCCCTTCAACTCCATTCCCGTCACCAGCCAGACGGCGCCCATCTAGGTCGACGGGTCAGGGCAAACTGGCTGGGTGGTGGAGTGGTTTGTGGTCCAACAATCAATTTATAACGCCAACCAGCCTCCTCAACGACAGGCTTAGCGAAGAGTACCCGAGTTCGAATCCCAACATGAGCACCAAGAGATGTAGCCACACCGGTGGTGAACTCTTTTTTGGTGTCGTTCTTCTTTTTTCTTTTTGTATCCTTTCTTTCTTTCCACTTATGACCGGCCGGGCCTATAAGATAGATGCCCTCCCTAAGTGCATCATCCATCACTCATCCCAACCTCACCTGCCGCCACATCCTCAAACACTCCTGCAAATCAACACCCACCGACCCCTCCGCCGCGCCCCCAACATCCCGAATCACAGCAACCAAAATACTCGCGAGCGCGAACATCTCAAGCGCCTTGGGCCCCTCCCGCAGCGCCTCGAGGTCCGACTTGCGCATGCCGCCGTTGTCGGCCCAGGCTATCCACGCGTCGAGGACGGCGGAGAGGGACGAGGCGAAGGCGCCGTCGAGGAGCATGCGGTGTAAGAGGCCCGCGGCGACGGAGCGGAGGGTCGGGGCGAGGGTGATGTCGCCTGCGGTGGTTGCGGTTGAGGATGTGGCTGTCTGTAAATAGCCTTGGTGCTGGAGCCAGGGGAGGGTGTGGGTTGCCACGAGGGCGGCGTCCCATTTGGGGGATTGGATTGCTTCGTGGGCGCGGGTTTCGCGGCGGCGGGCGTCGAGTCGCATTCTGTCGCAGACTATGTAGGTCAAGGTCAGTTGATTGTTTCCAGTTGATAGGGGGGAAAGCCTACCATCGTCCATGTGCTGATCAGACTCCTTACGCATCCTCTCCCTCACAGCCTGCTCCCTCCGCGCCGGATCCATCTGCTGCTCAGCCGAGATGGCATTCATCTGATCCCGCATCCGCCGGTGCAGAATATCGAGGTTGTCCCGCGTGTCATTGTGCGAGCTCGCCCACTCGGGCGTCTGGGATCCATCGACGACGCCTAGGACCTCGAGTACACCGCACGGGACAGAGGAACCCCGCGCAAAGGCGAGGACGTCGTCCGGGATGCGGTAGTTCTACAGAATGGTGGCGCTCGAGGTCCCGTAGGCCGTGGCGGCGCTGGCGAACCACGTTCCCGCCGTGTGGCCCGGTCGGATGCGGACGTGTTCGGTGTAGAGGCTCGTTGGCGGGTGGTCTGGGTGGTCTGGGATGGCGCTTATGAGGCCGTGGGAGGAGATTTTGCAGGCTATTGGGGTTTGGGCGTTGGATTTTGCGGCACGGGATATGCTGGCGACGGAGGATGATGGGGATGCCGTCTTTTGCTTGATGCTTGCGCTGCTTGGTTCTGGCTCTGCGTTGACGTCGTCGCTGCCCTTCTCGTCATCCTGCTCGATGACTGAGGCTTCTGGAGTGGGGAGTGGCAAGAGCCGGACCCAGTACGGGGGCAGAGACTCATGGCTTCTCGTGGTCCAGTGCGAGGACCAGTTCACAGATAGCGAAAGATGGCCGTCGGAATCGTTCAGGGGCGCAATGGTGAGGGCTTTGTGTTGGCCATCGGGACTCTGCATCAGGGTACAGCCGACGGGAGTCCATAGCCCGGTACTCCTCAGCAGCCTTCATCCATGAGCATCGGGAACGGCGCCGAGATCCAGAAGGTAGCTGATCAACTCGTCAAAGGTGAGGGCTGTCAAGCGGGCATGACGGAGCATGCGTCTGATGCGAGATCGCGCGGCGAGTGTCGCAATGGTGTTGTAAAGGATCGGGAGGATACCGAGAACGGCTAGAGGAACACCGATGTAGGTGATGATGTCTGTGGGTGTTGTACCGGAGTCGTAGCCAGACATTGCGCTGAGGAGAGAATCAGCGTATGATAGAGGTTTTGGACTATAAGAGAATATGAGCAGGTATCTCACTACAACGGAGATATGAAAGCAGGCAAGAACTGCCTTGTTGGTAGAATATGAAAATAAACGTCTTATTGTGAGAGAAATGAAGCTATTGTGTCTCTGTGAATAAAGTCATTGGGAACTACCCCTGACCGATGGCCTTCAGCCGCATAGTTTTGGGAAGGCGTTGGCGATGGCTAATCACTAACCATGCCTGTTTGGTCCTAAGTCGTTCCGTGTGCCTGTCGTCCTCACAACCATTGTCTACAAGTGCCGGTGACTCGGGACTCGATATTTCTTTGTTGGAGACATATCCCATAGCACATAGAGCCTGATTGGGGTCTTGTGACGTGAATTGCACAATAGTAGAAAACTGAATAGTCAGGTCTGTTGGTTCTTCAATTGTATGGAGAGCAAAAGAATTCCTGAGCGAGGTGCCGAAAGCAGACTATGATTCGTCGAGGGTTTGAGTAGCACTGGCTCTCTCAAGGCTTCCCGAATCGAGTCGAGTACAAGCCAACGAAATGCCGGAGGATGCAAGTACCTTCCTTGCCTGCATGAGCTCATGCGGGTTGCTGACCTCGAGGCACATGAGTGATGATTCTATGATTCGAGAGCTTTCTCGGCTGGAAGAATGTCTAGCGATCATGCGTCGAGTCATCCCTATTGGAGTAAACATCTTTTTGACTTGGTCCTTCGCATCTTCAGCAGAGTTCATCTGTTCGTCATCTATCAGGCTGTTCCGCTGTCAGCTCGGTAAATGGGATGAACAAGTCAACAGCAAGACGCGAACCACTGCGGGTAACACGGCATCACGAGAGACCGTACACGTACAGGCTGCACCTGGTAGTTTGTTTGTGATGCCTTGCTGACTGCTTGCAGATTATTGAGATGAAGAGGTGGAAGAGGGGAAGTGGTTGGGACTTTGTTGTGCAGGAGGAACCTTGGTCCAGTGACCTGCACCTAGGCTACGAAGTATAGGTTCTGTCAGCCCCGGACCCCGGCCACTGGGCGATCCCGCCTGCAAAACTCCCCGCGGGCCGCGTGTTCCAGGTTCCCTACCGATACTACCTTGCCCAAGTGACGGGAGGTGCAAGGAGCTGGACGCCCTGCTCGTGTGGACTTCCAGGTCGAGGTCATGTAAAATTAGGTAACCCACGGGCGGCCGGGGCAGGCGTTCGGGGCCCCGTAAGGCCAGTGGGCGCCCGTTGACACCAAACAATGGCGCTAAATGCAGGGGCATGTCTGCCAAGCCGCTATCCGACGGGGGAGCTGAGGACCTGGAACCTTCAAAACCTCCAACATTCCTCTCTCAATTTCCGTCGCACTTGCGCATTCCATTTCCGAACACCATACCACATTCGCTCGTGCTGCGTCACTCTCGCTATCATTTTCGACTCGACTCGACTCGACTCATCCCGACTCGATACAAACATTGGCGCCTGCGTATCGTTCCTGCTTCCGACGACATCGCCCTGAGCGAGAGTATGCGCCGAGGACACGATGCGGGACATCTCACCATGCGCCTCCTCCACTCCGTCCTCGCCGTCGCCGGCCTGCTCTCCGCCTTCGCCAATGCTCAATTCCCCTCCACCTCGGTCAATCTCACTACAATCACCTCGCCCGTAGATAATAATATCACCATTCGCTACAAGACCCCGAAGGGTGTCTGTAAGACCGCCTACGATACCCAGCAGCAATACACAGGATGGGTCAACGTTCCCGGGCCTTACCCGGCCAACATGTTCTTCTGGTTCATCGGCGCCCGCGAACCCACAGAGGCCATGACCATCTGGCTTAACGGCGGCCCGGGTGTCAGCTCTCTCTTTGGCTTGTTCACCGAGGTCGGTCCATGCGAGGTCATTGAAAAGGGCCTGGACCAGTATGACACTGTTGCTCGGGAATGGGGATGGGACCGCGCTTCCAACATGCTATTTATCGATCAGGTACGCTTCCGGCATCTGCTGAGTCTCCAAGCACTTGATGAAAACATACTAATACCACGCAGCCAAACCAAGTTGGCTTCTCGTACGACATCGCGACCAATGGCTCCATGGACCTGTTCAACGCGAACCAGTCTAGTCCGCCTCAGCCAGTCCCCAATGGCCAGTCGCCCGCAACGTTTCTAAACGGCACATTTAGCTCGTTGAACTCCAACAACACTGCAAACACCACCGAGACGGCTGCTTATGCGATATGGCACATGCTGCAGGGCTTCTTGGGCGCCTTCCCGCAGTACAATCCTCCGAACAACAGCTCTCTAGGCATCAACCTCTTTGCCGAAAGTTATGGCGGAAAGTACGGGCCTGTGTTCTCCGATGTGTGGGAGAAGCAAAACGAGAGACGACAGAACGGGACTCTGTCTGCCAACAACACGCTCGAAGTTCACCTCACGTCGCTAGGCATTGTCAACGGCTGCATCGATGATCAGGTCCAGGCGGAGTTCTACCCCGCCATGGCCACCAACAACACGTACGGCTTCAAAGCGATGAATGATGTCCGCGCAAGCCTGGCCAACGGCAGTTTGTACACCTCGGGCGGCTGCCTCGACTTGATCAAACAATGTCGCACCGCCGAGTCCGTCTACGACGCCAACAACACCGGCGGGGTGGACACAGTAAACACCCTGTGTTCCAGGGCGTATCAGACCTGCACCGACAACGTTGTCACACCGTACTCCGAGTCCGGCCGCAGCTGGTACGACATTGCACGCAAGAACCCAGACTCATTTCCGCCCAACACCTATCTCGAATATGTCAACACCGCGGGCTTCCAGCAGTCCATCGGCTCCATTGTCAACTTTACGATGACGAGCCAGGCTGTCTTGTCCGCCTTTTCTGGCACGGGCGACTACATGCGAGGACCCTTGATCCCGAAATTGGCCGGCCTTCTGCAGCGCGGCATCCGCGTCGCTCTGATCTACGGTGATCGTGATTACATCTGCAACTGGTTGGGCGGAGAGGCGGCATCGACGACTCTCGCTTGGCAAGCTAGCACTGTATACGGACGCAACTTTAGCGCCGCCGGCTACGCGCCTATCATTGTCAACGATTCGTACATCGGCGGTGTCGTGAGGCAGTTTGGGAACCTGTCCTTCAGCCGCATCTACCAGGCCGGCCACTCGGTGCCAGCCTATCAGCCAGAAACCGCGTTCCAGGTCTTTGCACGCGTCATCATGGGCACCTCCATCTCGACGGGCGACCAGGTGAATCTGGCGAACTACAATACCTCTGGCGATGCCCACGCCACGCATACGGACAAGTTGCCAGACTCGCCTGCAGCCACCTGTTGGCTGCGCTACATGCAAGCGTCGTGCAGCGACGAGCAGGTCAGCATGCTCCAGCACGGCGAAGGGACGGTCATCAACGGTGTGCTGTACAGTGCCTCGAGCGACTGGCCGTTTGCCACCAAGGCTCCGACTTCTACGCAGCCTGCCGCGTCCACTTCGTCAACGGTGCTTACGGGTCTGTTTACGGCGACGTCGACGCCAACGAGTGGCAGTGCAGCGGCACACGCGCTAGGGATGCCTTTTGTGGTTTCGGTTACACTTTCGCTTGGCTTGTTCCTGCTCGGAGTGATGGGGAGAGTGGTTGATCAAAAGTCATCATAGAGATTTGGAGCATATTGCACGAGGGTAAAGCATCATGTTTTCATCCCGCGGTTGGGCACTAGGAAGCATGTGACGGTCTTGCGAGTCATCTCGGTTGGCGTTTCTGGGCATTTTGGATGTGAAGGAAACATGAAGGGACGAAAGAAAAAGGAGAGGCACTACAGAGATGTGCTGGATGTGTTTTTGATTTGTGTTGGTTGAAGACTTAATGATACCCCCTTAATGATAGCTGTAACACAGAGCAGCGTATGTGCGTCTTGACTTTGATGATGGGTGCGTGTGTGCGTGTGTGTTTCTGGTTCGATGTTGACATCATAGATTTGTCACCCGCGTCCCGACTAGATTAACACACGTAGGGGAATTACTTCAAGTTCCTCCTAGATACGAAGCCGTGGACGTGGAACCACGAAGTGCCCATCGTCTGCTGTGTATAGCAACCCATGCCGGCGCGACTGTGTCCCTGCACTTGGTTCGTTCCAGAGGCAGCGGGCATGGATCAGGAACTTGAAGAAATTGGACGGAAACAGCATGCTTAGGCATATTCTCTTCACATCAGTCTGACTGAGGCGTCACTTGCAAATCACGAATCATACAAATACGCCAGGCACATCACAGGAGGCAGGGAAAACCGCAAGAGTGAAGAGTGATGGGTATCTTGTATTGAGGTATGTATATAAACATGCACGGCATAGACCTACCTGGGCCATGCATCGTTGATGAAGAAATACTTAGAGAATCTGACGACTTCAGTTAGCCACCGTTTGCAAACGTACACGACTCGACAACAAAACAGTGTGTGAAGCGTCAAAAATCAGTAAGGGGCCTTGTCAAAGGCAGTATCATCAAAGCATATGGCTCAGGAGACCGTCGTGATATGTTATGATCATCACGTAGACGCGGGAGAGGATGAAGGGTGAAGACGAGAGATTGAAGAGCTTACCATTTGATGCAACATCGTTGACGTGGTAAAGGAACGGTATTGTGTACACCACATGGATCTAGGAGGTCGAATGTTAGCCCCCTGTACGACCACAATTGTTTCCAATGAAGAGTGCAAATGTGAAGTGTTCGATCAGAATGACTGGTAGTCAACGTGTCTCAGCTTCGCCGTTAGGCTCTGACATATGCTTGTCTTTGGTTTATCGTTCATCAGGAGAACGGAGCCGTGGGTGGCTGGAGGTGTGGGTGAAAAGAGAGAACAGCTTACCACTCGAGCCATGTGATGGTGCGTCCTGGTCATCCGGTGAAGCCATGCCAAAGTGTGTAACTGTGATCTTAGAGACGGTCAGCGATGTTCATGCTCATCAATCAAAACGTAGTGTAATGAAGCCAATTCAGTCGTTGCATGAATGGTATAAAAAGTTTGTATCCGCATTGGAAAATCCAAATCAGACTCGTCATCTAAGTTGCTCATCAGGAAGGCATGGGGGTAAGCAAAGAAAAGTGTGAGACCTACCATGACTAGAACCAGAAGGAACGGGTGCGTCTGCAATGCACTAGCAGAGCAGACGGCGAAAGTTAATGGCATAGGAAGATCCATTCCGACACTGTTGTAGACGGGTCAGCCACCTGAAGCGCAATGGTGTATCCCGACAAGTTGAGTGTTCCGATCGAAATCAGTGGGCGAGGTTTTCTAGGCCTGCCGCAAAGTGGCTTGTCTGCTCATGGCCGAGCCCCATATGGGTACTCTCGGAGCCCAGTGCCGCTTCATCATGTAATGATGGGAGGGCGGGAAGGGAGGGGTTGGTATATACCTTGTCGGTTGTATCTGAGATGGCTGATTTCCAAGTTAGCAATTGAGCCCGATGAGAGCGAAGGCATAAATGGAAAGATAGGTAGTGAGATCAATCAGAAACAGCCAGTTATTTTCAACAAGAGTGTTCAGCCGGTAATTCCAACTGTGCAAAGCACAAAAAAACTAATCATCAGGATCTCGGGTGGGAAGGTGAGGAAGAAAAAAAAGAAGTGTACCATACCTTTTGTCAAGCCATCTCGAGGTAGCCCACGTAGCCCGATGATGCCGGCGTCAGATAGAATCAATCTGCAAAAGCCTGGTTTGTTTGGTTAGCGACTTGCTCAAGCGAAGCGCGAAGATCCAGAAACAAATTGCGAAATTGTCGTGTCCTATCAGACTGACGTGTAAAACAGAGGTTTCATTCCATTTAGGTCAAAGACTCTAGTTTGCGGTGTTTGCGTGTCATCACCAAGGATGGGTGTGTTGTTGTAAAGGTAAAAGTAGGAAAAAGGCGCGAGCGCGAACTTACCAGATATGCGAGGCTACGCAGCCGATTTTGCTGCGTGTTGCAGTGTGGAAAGAAAGGATCGTGAGGTTGGTTGGTCTGCGAGGGAAGAGTTTTAAAGGTGCTGGAAATTTTGAGCCGCGAGTGGGGTGCGAAGCTGGCGGTCGGCGACGACCCACTCAAGGTGTAGCTGTCGGTTTCTCACGTGCCTAGTCACGTGCTCGCGCGAACGGTCGGCGCGGATGGCCCGTCCTGAGTTGAGAGCTCGACGCGTCCACCTCGGGCAGTCTGCGTCATGGATCCGCAGTGTGCAAGTTGTCGCGGATCCCAGTAGACAAGAGACGTCAAACTGTATCCTCTTTCTTCAGGCAAGCACTAGAGACAGTAAACAGTATAGAAATGCCCGAAATTGCTGAAGGTAAGACTGATGTTATTGAACTGATAAATGCAAGTTGGCTCATGTCTTCCCAGTTGCGCGGTGCGTGCACTTCTTGCGCCTTCATCTTGTAGGCAAGAAGATCGCCAAGGTCTCTGCCCCTGACGACGCCAATGTCTTTGGCAAAGTCGGCACCAGCGGCCCGGCGTTCGAGAAGGCTGTAAAGGGTAGGAAGGTCGTTTCTGTTGGAAGTCAAGGAAAGTATTTCTGGTATGTTTACTAAATCTACTGGAAAAGAGATCTTGGCAGACACTCATTTCATCTCAGGATCACATTCGACAAGGCCCCTCATGCGGTGATGCACCTGGGCATGACAGGTAAATGAAGTCAAACTCACCCCCCAAGTACCCTGTATCGAAACTGACACCACCCAGGATGGATCCACATCAAAGGCGACAAGACGGCTTACACAAACTACTACAAAAAGATGAAGGAAGGCGAAGCAGACATCTGGCCCCCCAAATACTGGAAATTCAACATCGAGACCGAAGGCACACCCAAAGTCTCAGCAGCCTTCACAGACCCCCGCCGCTTCGGCCGCATCCGCCTCGTAGACTGCCCCGGCGCAGATATCAGGTCCTACTCGCCCCTCAAAGAAAACGGACCCGACCCCGTCGTCGACGTCGACGTCTTCACAGAGACATACCTCCGGCAAAAGATGCAGTCCCGTCACGTCCCCGTCAAGGCTCTCCTCCTGGACCAGAGCCACATCAGCGGCATCGGCAACTGGGTCGCCGACGAGGTGCTGTACCAGTCTCGGCTGCACCCTGAGCAGTACTGCGATACCTTTGACGAAGGGGAGATGAAGAGGTTGTACGAGGCCGCACGGTATGTTTGTCAGACGGCCGTCGATAAGCTCGGCGACTCGGATGCGTTTCCGGATGATTGGTTGTTCAATTATCGCTGGGGCAAGGGGAGTAAAGGCGCCGCGTCGGAGCTGCCCAACGGGGAGAAGCTTGCTTTTATAACTGTCGGGGGCCGGACGAGTTGCTATGCTCCTGGGAGGCAGAAAAAGACTGGACAGGTTGTGCCGTCGGCAAAGGAGGAGCCTGTGGCGGAGGACGGTGATGATGGCAAGAAACCCAAGGCCGCCGTCAAGAAGAAGAGGCCAGCGAAAGCGAACGAGAGCGACGAGGAGGAGAAGCCCAGTAAGAAAGCGAGAGGCGCCAAGGGTTCAGCAAAGGCAAAGGTGAAGAAGGAGGAGACTCCCGAGCCTGCCGCCGAAGCACCGGCACCAAGCAAGAAGCAACGAGCTTCAAAACAGGCTGCGGAGAAGCCCAAGGCCCCATCAACCAAGGCCAAGAAGACGTCGGTTAAGAAGGAAGAGGCAGTAGAGAAGACGACGGCAGAAGACACGGGGAGACGCAGATCCCTCCGACTGAAGGGGTGAACATTCATATCTTAATCAACGTTATGTCTCATTGAAGTACCAATTCTCGTCAATGCCACAGTCTTCCCCTACTAAGAACCCTCACGTTCAAGCTCCTTCACGGCTCCGACTCCACATCCGGCGGGAACGTTCCAAACAACGCCATGAGATGCTGCGTCTCGTCGCGGGATAACTTCTTACCCTCGTTTACGCCCTTGGCCATCATACGGAAGTCTATCATCACACGTAAGCTTTTCACAACACCGTACCGCCCATCACAGGTTTCCCGTGATTCTGGCTTTCCGAGAACTTACAATCCATGTAATATCCTGTGTAGTCCACATTAGCCACCTGCCACAATGACATTCATGAAGGGCGTCAACTAGTGGGTACACACCTGGAGTAGACGTCATGAAGAACTCCGCAGGATCCGTCTCAGACGGGTTCGAAAACGTGTGGATCGCCCTCGGCGGCACGACCATCAACTGGCCCTCCTCGGCATCCACGTTCCCCTCGGGCGTTGAAAACCGGATCGTTCCTACATCCCACCAACGCGGGCAAAAGTCAATAGGGGCAAACACTCCTCCTCCATTCATGAACAATAATTCGATTCAAATACATCAATGGGAGAAACACCCAACAGCGATTTAGTTTCAAAGGAATACGGCAATGGAATGCAAGGCGGGGGGACAAAAAACTCACCCTTGGTCACAAAGAAGCACTCGTCGTGGAACCGATGCCAATGCATCGGCGGCCCGGACGTCGCAGGCGGCAGCTCCAGCGTCATACACCCGACGCGGTTATCCGTGTTACTCCCGTCCTCAAAGATGTAAATCGTCATGGGTCCCAGCTTGAGGCACTCGCTGTTCTCCTTTGTGTAGAGCTTCACTGGCACGGGGCCGCGGAGAGGCATCCTTGAAAATGAGAGAGGCTGCGTGCGGCCTTGGATTTCCCTGTTTAGTACTTGCGTTGTTGGTGGTCCGTTGGGGGGTGGTGAGTTGCTTCCCTTTTCTTGGGATTCTAATAAAGTTGCCGTTGGAGATGAGAAGAAGAGTGAGAACCGGACTACGTGAGAATGAAATGATATAATATGAGCTCACTGAACTTTCGAGTATCAATCCGTGACATTCATCTGATGATACTGATAATCTCCCCAAGTGGACGTCCGGTGCACCGTAGAGGAGGGAGGGGGGAGGGGGGAGGGAGGAGGGGGGAGGTTTAGCTGTAAGCTTAGGTAAGACTGCACACCTATCGGATCTGCCGTCTTTTCTGTCTGCATCTCTTCTACGTTTGAATTCGGACTAGGCGGATGAGGCGTTTGCTTTGTACATTAGCCCTCGAACTCACCCGGGAAAAACAACGAGGGAGGGAAAACCCGAGTTTGCGGTTACACTGCATGTTCGGATCGGAGAAGCTTGAAAAGGACCAGGCTAACTGAGCTTGCCCTGCCACGCCACGAGCTGTCGACCTTTTCTAGCTTTAGCTTGGGTTTGAGTTCAGCAACATGTGCAGGTGTCTCACCGGTCTTTGATGACGCCAATGATGGTTGAAAGTGAGGGGCCCCATCGAGTAACCTCCCGAGCTTCCTCCCAGGCTTTTCAAACCACCCTCCTTTCAGCCCTGATTATCAGACATTGATTCGTATGCGGTGATCTTTAAACGCAGTGTCACGATGCAGCAACAATCATCATCTTCAATAAGTGCCGGATTCGTGTTCCCAAATGCAACGCCTGTCACTCAATTCGCCGAGGGCCTTGGGCCGTCTGCTATGCTATAACATTTCATCATGATCAAGATATCATGTTGCGGACATGATAGAAAATTCCCAAGAAGCCCCCCTTGACAGTCAAGGCCAATGCCGACTGTTGATAATACGCCATCCCAAATGCTTTGAAGCTGGTTCTTTTCAATACGCTTTCCCCTGCCATCCATCGACTCCAATGAGGCGGATGGTCATAAATGTCTTGATGCACCTTAAAGTGACTCCAGATCTACATGCAATAGTAATTCGCTTTTTCTTCGTTGCTCGTGTCTTAAAAGAAGACTCCGCGGAAACACCCAATATTGAAATCAAAGTTGGAAAAAAAAAGCAAAAAAAAAAAAAGTCATCGTTTCCGAGATGCGTGGGCTCTAACTCGCATGCGTATAATGTGGGTATCGTAAATGCCTAATAGCAGATGCCTCGCTCGTAATGAAGTCGTGACATTGTTGTTGCCTTTGTAAAGAAAACGTTTCTTTACCTTCGCGGCCAAATGTTTACAGGTACCGCTGGCTAAAAAATGGAAACAAACGTCGGTGTTTGCGTGTTGCAGGAATCAATCCTCGCGTGCGACCTGGAAGCCGACTGAGTATCGGAAGTGCTGAGAGTCCCAGCGAACAGGGATCATCGTGAGGAGGTTGACGAAAGAAGTGCCGTCTTTCCTGAAGTTGAGGACATCGGTCTGGAACTCGTCGTTGGCCTCGACAGCCTTGCGCATGCGCTTGACGGTTTCCTTGGGAACGTGCTTCCGGGCAGACTTCTTGCTGACCTTTCCGCCGGGAGCCTGGAGGAAGCGGCAGTTTTTGCCAAGAATTTCGCTGTTCTTGTATCCGGTGAGAATGCTGAAGTGTTCGGAGGCGTAGACGATCGGGCAATCGGGTTGCTCGAGGTCACAGAGGAGCAGAGCGACAGAGCAATCAATCGCGCCGAGTTCAACCTTGGGGTTGGGCCTTCCAGCGACGCGGAGCTGACGTTTTGTTAGTTACGATAACCATTGTTGTCAACGTAAAGCACCTACGAGAATGCTCATCATGTCGAATCCGCTGGGGCAGTAAAGTCCAGGGTACATGACGGGATCGGCAGCGGCTTGCGGTTGTCGCCAAGCACCAGGCTTTCCTTGCGCAGCTTGCTCAGTCCCCTCGGAGAATTGATACTAGGAGGGATGTCAGTACCAGAACAATCAAGACTGGGTCTAGAGTCAACAACGTACCTGCAACGCGCAGGACTCCCACGGATTCATAGTTGGCGACATTTGGTTTTGTGACCGAAATGATAGAATGCGTTCCGACTTTTGCGGTTGAAGATATGAGGCCGGGTACTGGAACTCCTGCATCGACATTGTGAAGGTTGGCAGAGCCTGAATGTGATTATAAAGCGACGATGTGACGGGTGACTGGGAGGGAACGGGATGTGTGACCGGGGGGGTTTGGCCGGTTCGAGCAGCGAGAGGGCAGGGTTGGTGGTCGGTGATATGGTGCAGAGTAAGGCGGTTAGGCGCTTTGCATTATGCGTATGTCTGGATGTGCTGGCAAGAAAAGTCGATCGCGGACTATGAGGGTTGCTGCTTGATAGATGCTATATCAAGTGTAGATCGGTAAATCGTTGGATGGCAGAGTCAGGGAAACGTGACAGGTCGTTATGGAAGGATGTAAGGTCATCAAGCCAAGATATCGAAGAAACGGCACGTTGTTCGCTGAAAGGTGCGTCGGGCGGTGCAACCGACGTTATTAGGCAAACGTACAGAGTACACTTTGGGTAAATTTGGTGGCAGAAAGGTAGGGGCGGGTTGGAGATACCGTTGTCCATCAGCAAGCGGAGCGATCGTTGATGTTGCAGTACTGATCGCGAGTCGATGCGTGGAACACGGTGATCGGGAGCAGTAGTGTGGGGAGGGTGTGGGTTTAGACCTGGAACGGCCTCCCCTCCCGCAAAGTTTAGGGTCTGGTGTCTCTTTGGAGTCTTCGGCGTCTGCTTGCTCAGGTGAGCTTGGTGAGGTAGGCTCGACAAGGGAGTCTTTGAGCTTTGGGAGAGCAGAATCAACGGTCTTTGCTCCGAGTTGTTCGTAATAGAGCAAGCGTTAAGCATCCAATCCTGGTGAGCATTTTGGTTGTCAGATGGGCCATTACATCAACGACAGATGGCTGAAGGACCAACGACCACTGCCAACAGATCGGGCCCATGTCCTCGGTTCGCAGAGCTCCATCCCACTTCGTTGCTTGCCAGGGGGGGGGGGGGTGCTCGCTTGACCAGCTGCAGAGTATTGTGCAGACAGAGTATGCGCTACTTGTAAATGAAGAACCGTCTTCGCGCGGGGTGAGGAGGGTGAGGAATGATGGCGACGAGCGTCACCCCGTCATGTTTGGACGGCAGCGGCGGTGCGGCAGGGGTTGTAGCAGGAGCCTAACAACCGGCAGTAGAGAACAAGACGCGCAGCTGTGCCATCTACCATACACTTGGGACGTGAGGAGGCGTGCCTCATGTTAAGCCGTTGTCAGCGCAAGCCCTCAGACAGGTTCGGGTCGCTATCTTTGATCGATGGCATTGCTGCTTCCGGCCAAGTGCCGCTTCGTGTGGACAATCGGTGACGAACTGCATGGGCGCGCAGGGCGATGGCCGATGGGCGTGTGCGAGACAGGGGTCATGAGTCGGAGCAGAATCCGATGCTCAGATTTGCGGTTGGGCCAGCGATCACAGCGATCGTCGCAACGGGTTTCCCACAATCTCGATTCCACAGGCATGGGCCCCTGCACCCATTTCGATCCGCCTGGATGTGCATTTTGCTCACTTGTGGCATGTTGGCCGTGGACCGTGGTGGTGTGGCAGCCCGGCCACCAGCATCGGAATCGGGCTTTTTTCTTGCTGGAGAAACGTCGTTCAGAACCCCCTGGTCGCCATCGAATTCTGACATGGGCTTTGGGGTGACAGGCCTCAACATCGGCATCGAGATGTGGTTGTGGTTCCATTCCACCGTCGTCCGCCTAGGAACCGCCAAGTTCAATGAGTCGGGTGCTCGTCTACACCACAGTGACCACACCAAGCACACGGCGTCTCAGGGGCCGTGGAAGAAGACACCTACAGGGCGAAAGCGCGCTCGGCTGGCTGGTGCAATGAGGTAGACTAGATTTGGCCCTTTGCATCCATATCTGTTGCTAGCCCTAAAGAATTGGGTGCAGGTTGACAAGGGCGCCGTCCGAGTCTGGGCTCGGCCCAGTAGCACCATCGAGATCTCTCACTTTCATTGAGAGCAACCCGTCTCGCTTCGCGCAACGAGTCCAGGCCAGATCTTTGAATGCCCCTTGATCGATCCAGCAGAAGGAATCGGCCGAGAGACAGGGGGTGCGACGGAAACAAGGGCGAGAGCGAAAGGTGATTCCGGTCGTTCCACGAGCACAGCACGGATCCGGATCATGGCGGAATGTTTGTATGCTACGCGAGAGTCGGACAAGGTATCCTCTGGCATCTTCCACGCATTGGGGGTTTGCGAGCATCGGTCGACCCGACGATGCCCTCAATCCCAAGTTCTCACTACCGATCGAGATTCCCCATTCGAGCAGGCTGGGAGGCAGCTGGGTCTGATTGTCTCCAGTGGTCCAGCCATGTCTTCGATCTGAGTCGACGTGCCCCCGATGAATCCCCACTGCCGAGCTGAGCTGAGCATGAGCCATGCTGCATGTCCAATTCACCGGTGAGAGCCTGACGGCGGGGCAGCATATGCACCTAGTGTATCCATAGTGTAGACGTTTGCTGTGCCTCAGTTGACAGTTTGATGTTGGGCAACGACCATCTCGATGGCACTCCTCGCCTCGCTGAATCTCATCGTGGTGGCCTCTTGGTTCTCGACTCTGAGGCTCAACTGGGGACAATCAAGCTCGAGCCTTCGTCTCGCTTCGTCTCGAATTCAAATACTCAGAGACAGCTCGAGGTGGTGTCTGTCGCGGGTGTTGCTCAATCGCAGACAGAGACGCGATGATCTCAACGTGAACCGATCGGGCGGCAGAATGGGGTTCCAGAACTCTGGGGTTTGGCGGCAATCGGGAAAATCGTGTGGCATCGTCGCTTGTGGTTGAGGATCGCGGCGATGGGAAGTGCATGTGCCAGCGGCTGCCAGCGGCTGCCAGATGCGGGCGCCTGGGCGAACCACGACAACTTGGGTATCGATTCGAGCAGGTGCGGGTTCTCGCTTACAGCTCCGTTGTTCTTTCCTTTTCAGCAATGATACAACTTGACATTGCCTTTACAAGCTTACGCCTTCCGAGTTAATTAATTCTTCAATCTTGCTTAGCCAATCCCGGAACTCTGATTGGGTGATCATGCCTCTTACAAGTTGAATTAGCGAGAAATTCTCCCAGATTCAATGTCTTAAATGAACCTCTTGCTGCCGGTAATTGTCTGGACTCGGCTCTTCCAGACTGGTTCGAACCTACACTACCTAAAGTATGGCAAGTACTTCGTAGAAATTCAAGAGCTTCTTTCCTTGATACCCGGGTTTTCATGAGTGTCTTCCACGATGCCTAAGAACTCCATCCTTTATGGCGTAATTATGTGTACCCATTATCAGAAACATTCTCGAACAATACCACCGCATGAGCATTGGCTTTCAAATGCTTCAGACAGTGAAGATGTGTACCATAGGTACAGCAGTAGGTATACATTCGACGGCCAGGAATCAAGTGTACTGTAAAACAAAATACGGACAACCAAGACAGACGAAGAAGACGTACAGTTCTCGCCGTCAAGAGTCCACTAGTTCTGCTATGGCAATTTCACAGCAAAGCAAGATCCCTCGATTTGCCTCTAATGTCCTATATAACATTCCCATATCTAATCTCTGGATAAAATTTCCATGACATGGTTCGATAGATGAATTGAAGCCTTCCGCCAGACAGCTCGACGACTTCACTGTGTAGACTCTGGATATATCCTCCACCAGCTATTCAAAAAGCAAAATCCTCAAATGCCACATCTTCACCTTCCAACCACCCATTCAAGACCTTGAGCATCTCCGGCCCAGTGCACAAAAAATATCTCCTCTTTACCTCATCATCCTTCACATCACCAGGCCCAATCCTCCTCCTCCTCTCAACAACGGCCCCAAACCCCTCAACCTCCCGAATCACAGCCTCCTCCGCCTCCTCCGCCTCGCCAACCTCACCCGTCACAAACACCCTCAACACACCACCCAACCCAGGAAACCTCCCAACAACATCCCTAACCAACTTCACATCCTCCCCTCGCACAGTCCACAACACCTTCACCCTCACCCCCGCCCCCAAAACACCACCAGCCTGCGCAAGCAAAGGCGTAATCCCAACCCCAGCAGCAACAAACACCTCTTCAACATCATCACCATCGCTGCCTTTCTTCCCCCTCCCCATCCTAAACGCCTCTTCACCCCCAAACCCAAGCACAGGAACCTCCAACGGAACCCTCAAATTCCACCTCCACAACAAATTCGTAACCGGGCCCTTCCTCCTCGCCGTAATCTCAACCTCCTTCACACCGCCAGGCGAACTCGAAACGGTAAAAGTCCTTACATAATCATCATTCAGACTCTGCGGCTCGTCGTCGCGCATATGACTCCACCCCACATCCAGCTCCTCCGCAAAATCAAGCGTAACATACTGTCCCGCCTCCCACTGCGCTGCCGGCTCCAAGCGAAAGACGAACCGCGCAATCGTCGGCGTGATGATATCGCGGCGTAGAAGGGTGGCTGTCCTGGTACCCTCCCCAGACACGCTTAAAGCATGTTGCTGCTGCTCGGAGAAGAGCGGTCGGACAGGCGGGTTATACGGCGACGGCTCTTGCGGGATGCCGGAGAAGGGTAAGCCGGATTGCACGAATACCGCGGCCGAGACGGTGATTTTGACGGCGAGTTTCGTGCGCGGGAGGTAGGCTGCTGCATCTTCTCCGACGAGTATCGATGCCGATCCCGTGAGCTTTTCAGCACATGCGTATTAGCCTTCGTCTTCCAAAGTGAGTGGATACAGGGACGAAATAATGCTCACGTAAAGGACATCTGACGTCTCAAAGTCCGGTATCGCGATCCCAACCAAGGGGTTCAGTTTAAGGTTCCCCAGCGTCTGATATAACCGATTACCAGAAACTGTAATCCACCACCCCCAAAAGGAGCCACATGGTTAGCCTTTTCTCATCTCGATCCGGATGTAACCACCCTAAATGACTCAAAAAGAGGGTAGGTAGTAAACTCACATTCGGGATACACAATCTCAACACCACCCACATCGTTCCTCGCAACCCTCACAAACCCCCTCGACCCTCCCCGGTGGTTCGTATCCATACTACTACTACTACTACTGCTGCTGCTGTCATCACTGCCGTCCTCGTGCCCGCTCGTAAGGAAAAGCATATCCGCCCCGCGCACAACCTCCAAAGCCTCCTCAGACAGCGGCAACTCCCGCTCCACTCTACCCTTGCCGATCGACGTCCGCGGGATGACGTCCTTTTTGTTGAGGTACTTGGGGCAGTTTCCCAAACTCTCTTCGACGTGTACCGCGATCTGAACTTCCGAGGAGGCCGAGGTCGAGAAGGAGGAGGAAGGGGAGGATGTGCTCCGGTCTCCGTTACTGGTAGTAACTGCCCCGGCCACCATCCTCCCCCCAAACTTGACACGATCCCGCGTCGTAAGGTCGATAGCCAGCCCAGAGACGAGCTTCCCTCCATTCGGGCCCCGTCCAGGCTGAATGGCCTCCTGCAACTGCTGCCCACCTTCATCCCCCCAAAGAGCCCTGAAAACCGGATCATCAACAACGTCAACCAGGCTCCTGACACCAAGTACATCCTCCGCAATCGGCCTCGCCACGTTCCCGGCCTCGCCGCCCCATAAGGTCGTCCAGGGCCGGCTTTCGGCGTCGAGGGTGCCGAGGGCCAGGAGCGGAGCGGCGGCGATGCGGGTGCCGTAGGAAGGGGGCAGGCCTGCGGCGGTGGGGTTGCCGCGGTGGCGGGGGACTTTGAGGAGGTCGTGGAGGGCGAGTTCGCCTTGGTGGAAGGATATTGTTCTGCCTGGCATTTTGGGGTTTTGTTGTGAGTTGGATAGGAAGAGGGTTGATGGTGTTGTTCATATGAGGTGTGTATTGGTGTTAGTTGCGAGTGATCACGACGTTTTTCATTCAACTATGAGGATTGTGAGAAGGGCAGAGCATTATCTCATCATTTGAAATCATCACGATGACCGTGGGATTATCTCCAAAGCATCTCTGTAAGCTGTGAAGGATGAAATTGACATCTCCGGGTGACAAATCAAGCACCAAAGGGCGCATGTCGTGATCAGCCAAGAGGATTCCAAAGCTGACAGCTTGACGTAGGCTGGCAGCTGGTGCAGATAACTTGGCACTGTCAAACCTCATGTACCAGGCGGGGGCGATCACATCGGGGAAGCGGGTCCAGAACTTTAATCGCCTGCATTGGCGTTGCGAGCTTGCCAGGGGCCCCTGGCGCCGCGGGGACGTTTAGTAGATACAGTGTCAAGTACCTATGAACAACATCGCAAAAGGGTGAACATCGGATTGTCGTCAATAGACTTTGTTATTTTTCAATTTCTAAAAGTACAGCTGGATTGTTGTGGTTTTCCTCTCTAGCGGCTCTTGGAGCACTTCTGTAGCCAGTAGACCCTTGGTTTCCTAGTAGTACATGGACGAACGGAGAATGAAGCGAAATAGTTCGGGGGGTATCGAAAGGATGGTCGTAAAAAGACGGATGAGAAGCCAACTTCATCTCGCTCTCAATACTTTTGTGTATCCTAAAAGGAAGAAAAGTGTGAGAGGCTCAGATGTAGGCGAAGAGGAAATGACGAGACAGGCCTTTCGTGAAAGATGCGCTTTGATTCCAGCGCAAAAAGTAGAAACCCCTTTTGAATCATAAAGACATTATGAAAAAAAGAAAATGCGGGACGTAGCCGCATAACCCTGTAAACGCGCGATCTATGAGCCCCAGAAAGGAGCACGGTACTCCTAGTACCGCGGGTCCCTCTGGGATTCTACATCGTTGTTGTAGCCGTATCCCGGACCGCGGGGGCTCGGTCGCTGGCTCTGTGATGTACCGGGACGGTTGAAGTAGTCGTCCTGCGGCCGGGGAGGGACCGGCGCTGTCATGTTCCGCATGGGAGCATTCGGCGGGCCTCGCGGAGGAACCGGACCAGTCGCGCTCCGTTGCGGGTTGAACGGCTGGTACGCTTGGTACGGGGTGTTGTTGAGCGGGCCGGGGCCACGGGGCATGGGCGCAGGAGCGCGCTGCGAGTATGCTGAGGGCGCCGGACTTGCCCGTCCAGTGGACTGGTTCGAGTAGTCGTCGTAGGTGCCTCTGGGCGCCGGTGTGGCACGGTCACTCTGGTAGGTGTTTTGTCTTTGCGATCTGAAGCTTTCTACCGATCGGCCAGTGTTGGTCCTCATAGGCGGAGGGAAGGCAGGCATCGTGTCGGGAGAGTAGGTGGAGGGGCTCTCTGAGAAACCACCACGGAGAGAACTCTGTGAATTGGTTTGCACGTGAGAGATTTGAGGCCGGAAGCTCCTCTGTGAGTTGGAGGTGCCAGGGCGCTGAGGCGGGTAGTTGTTCAAGTCCATGGGCGGCAGAGAAGGAGCCGGTGAAGCTGAGCGCTGATAGCCAAAGTCCGCAGCGCCGCCAACAAGAGGTGCGCGTGACGAGTAGCTGGCAGTGGATGTGGTGGTGCCCATTCTCGACGGCAGCGGGCGTTTTTGATCCATGGAGTTGAGCTCGATGCTGCTGGGGGTTCCAGGACGAGACTCGTAGGCGGGCAGCGTTGCAAAAGTGTCGTTGCGGCCAAACATGGGCATCTCGGCCAATTTGTCTGGGTCTCCAACGTTGGGTAGAGTCGGCAGAGTTGCCTGTCGCTCCAGCGGCAACTTTTCGCCATTCTTCTTGGCCGCCTTCATTTCTAACCTTCTCTTGGTTTCCTCCTGTCTTGCCAATGCCTTGTTGACCTTGACGGTCACAATCTTCATGAGGGCCTTGGTGACCTTGCGCTCACAGTAGCCTGAGAGACCTCCGTCGGCCTTGGGAACCCAGTGGAAGAGGAAGAAAACGTAGAAGAGGACGGCCATGATGAGGTACAGAGCGGAGAAGACCCAGATGAGTAGGGTGAAGACCATACCCGACAGGATGAGAGCCTGCTGATAGTCCTCCGTGGCAAGGGTCTTAATCTTATCAAAGAAACCAAGCAGGGAGCCCTCGACGGAGATTTCGTGAACGGCAAGCTTGGCATCGTAGACAGACTTGAGAGTCAATGCGTTGACGACCTGACGAGGTCCGGAACAGACCAGTACACGAATCCAGGCTACATGAGTTTAGTAGAGGCCCCGACGAGAAAAAAAGGATCGGCTTACATTGAAAGCTGAAGTAGGTGAACAGAGCAATGTACTCGGCTCCCTTCTTGCTCTTGGTGAGTTCGGCAAAGACCAAGAAGCGCTTCCAGCCCTGTCCCTTTCCGAATCGGATACTCTCGAGGCGAACGGCAATGGTGTCGAGGTAGCATTCAGCTACGTTTCCTCGCTTCATAACGCGGTGCGCCCGGAAGTGCTCGAAGGCGAGATTGACGAAGGAGGCGATGATGGAAATGGAGAAGATCCATTTCGAGATCTTGAAGTCGATGGCGGGGTCGATTTCGGAGGACCAGCGGTCGAAAGCCAGGAGGTTGATGGCAGTGAACATATCGACGCCGTAGACGGCGAGGGAGATGATCAACATGAGCCAGAGGTAAAAGTAGGCGAACGGAGTAAGGCATCCTCGAGACTTGAAGTCATTGAGGTTCTATACAGGTTAGGACCAGGGGCATGTTGAAACTGCAATGTGTACCTACGATGTAGTCCCATTTCTGCTCGGCACGTTGGTCAATGACCTTCTTGCGATGAGTGAGGCAACCCATCTTGAAGAGTGGGCGAATTGGCGAGGGTGACGATTGCCAAGGTTGTATGGATGAAATCCCGACGCAGTCGAGCCGAGAAGGAGAAGAAGAAGAAGAAGAAGAAGAAGAAGGGTGATGATGCAATGGTCGCCGTGGGACCGATTGTCGTGTGAATGAGTGTGATAATGCAACCCGGGCCTGCCGTTAACACAAGTCGTTACTCGCCCGCGAAGTAATCGACAGTGTTTCTCTTGGTGATGACCAGGAGAGAAAGATCGATACTTGAGACGGGACGAAGCCGAAGAGTAAAGGAAGAAAGATTCGGTTGTTGAACGAGAGGGAGGAACGGAATGTGGGTCCCAGGGTAGGAAGGGGACTGGAAAGGGCTGAATGTGCGACGCAAGAGTTCGGACCGCGCGATTGTCAAGTTGGCATGGTCGAGCGACCGGGCGTTTGAGGGTGGATCAAGACTTGGTGAAGATTCGTGGCGACGTAACGACAACGAGCAAAAGCCAAGTCGGCTGGTCGACGGTGGGAATTGACAGACCCGGGGAATGGGGGAAGGTCCGTAGTCGAGCAAGCACTTGAAGTTAGGCGGTGACGGTTTTCTGGTTGTGGGTGAATATCCGCGTTTGATCGGCCACCGTGGGCTGCAAGGCTGAGTCTCAGGATGTCGAAAAGGGTGAAGAGAGTTACAGTGCGCAAAATGCAGGTGAGTGAGTGAGTGAGTGAGTATTGTGTGTATTCGAAGGTCGAGTCTAGAAGGAGCGGACGTCGTGGATTTCTCGCACGATCGGAATGTTTCGGTCGAAAACGTCGAGTCTTACTCTTGAGGCCATGGAACTGGTTCGCGAAGCTCGAGGGGGAATGTTGAGAAGGCGTGTGTGGCGTGGTTGTGTGTAAGAGCACAAGACGCAAGTGACCCTTGAGTGAGGGAGAGAGAGTCTGAGAGAGAGAGAGAGAGGAGAGTGGAGGCCTTCAAGAGTGATCTGCGAGAGTGGGGGGGGGGGGGGGGGGGTCTGACAGTCTGACTAGGGGTCAAGACACCGAGTCAGTGCCAAAAAGGGAAGGAAAGGGGGGCCTTTTGGGTAAGATGATCCAATAATTGATGATTGCCGCCAGTTGCCCTTGTATCTGTACTGTAGAGTCGCAGACATGGAGACATGGGCAATGGAAGAGTAAGACGGGCGAGGGCAGTTTGGCGGTTTCGAGCGTCCAGCGTTCAGCGTCCGAGGAGAGGGGGAGAGGCTTGTGGAGCAATAGCGAACGGAAGCGCGGCCTTTAACGCAGGTACCATGTCACCAAGCCGCTCAATTGGGATTAGTGCACCAACAGAGCGTTTGAGGTCCATTTCCCGTGACCGTCTGGGTAATTGATAGGCTCAACTCAATTATAGCCCTTGATAAGGCCCCCACTTCTCCCACAGTCTCTCACAGTGTACAGCGGTACGTACTCAAGGTACCTACCTACCTTAGGTGTTAGGGTTCCATCTCCGTCGGCCTTCTTCCTCCTCTCCTGTCCCTACCTGTCCCTACCTGTCCCTACCTGCCCCTACCTGCCCCTACCTACCCACTACCTTACTCCGCACTGCGTCCTCCCTCTGTGCCTCCTCAGCCTCTCATGTTGTGCATCTTCTCCTGCATCCAACCCATGGAAGTAAATTGTCCCGCACCAGGCCTGCCAGTTGCTCAGATTGACCATGGCGGGCATGGCCACATAGTTCGCGGCCTCATCTTTACAGCCGCGGCTCGGACGCGCCCGCTTCACCCATCCAACCATCAATCCAAGTCCTGCGCCTCTCGAAGTTTCTTCCCCCCGAGCCCCCTCTGGGCCGGTCGACTTTGGTCGCGTTGTTTCGACCGTCCTGAATGCCTGGAGGATCGTGGACTTGTCGCTAACCACTCCCGCACACGGCAACGTCAGCTTTCCAACACTACTGTGCAGTAGAGCCGCGCCGGCGCGGTGGAGATGAGGCCGACCACGAGGCCTCTCCTCGGCCCCAACCGAATGTGGCTTACAACTTACAAGTCATTACTCCGTTAAACTGACTCTGTTAGGCCCAGCATTCGGATACCCGACAAATGGCAAACAATTATTCCAGAACCAAACCTATACTCACAACGACGCCGGCTGTCCACAGTCGTCGCAGCCAGAATGGATACTCAGCCTTTCAACACGGGCATCCCGTCTCAACTCTGCTCAGCTTTGCCCGGAACAGTCTCGCTGAAACGGCTTGCCCTGGCCCATACAACGGTATGCATGACAGCAAGCTCGCGGATACAGGACCCCGGCGTTACTTCTCACCCTCTGCTGCTTCTTCTTACCTCCTACATGGCCAGTGCACCCTCTCTCGCATTGATTGTCCCTCCATTTATGTCATTCGACGGTTCGGCCGAACGCAGGGTGGATGGCAGACAGTACGGAGTATGCATCCACGCATCGAAACGAAGAGTGACGCCGAGTCTACAGTGCCACACTGCGACAGACAAGTGCCTTTGCCTCCTTACAGCTCCCTCCCAAAGCATAGCCCGAACATCACAAGGGGACCTACAGCCTGCAGCCTACGCACCAGCCTCCGGAAACAACTCCAAGGGATGCGTCGACAAACGCTCCCGGATCAGACGGCAGGTCTTGGCCAACACGACCCAAAAAGGGCTCAGTCCAATTTGTTCGCCTCCCACATCCCGGAAGACGCAGCATTTCGCTTCTCCACGACCAATTTGCTCGGCGGGGTGGGTGCTAGATGCACGTGGATTACCCCGGCCATTCGGCTATCTTTATCGCCATTCTAATTTGAATGCGATAGGCCGACAAAGAAATGACGGTGGGTTCAGAAGTCGTGCTACCAGCCTGCACCAGGAATTCCATGGGCTGTATCAGTAAACGCCCTGTGTCACCAAAGGATGCGGCTTCAGCGCGAACGGCTGAAAATGTTTCCTCGCATATGTTGGTTCCCGTTTGGCCCAGCCTGCTGCTTCGTTTGCCTTGGCGAACGATTGTACAGACGTTTCGACCGGCGGGATACAGGACATTCGTTTTGAATCTTTCGTAATGCCCGTCTGTTGGGTATCTCTCTTACGCTAGACGGCGAGAGGTCTCTATGGCTGGCGTCTGTTCTCAATTTGCAGCAACTTACACCGTTGTGAGGTTGATCCTAAGAATGTCTTAAACACCAACGCTCATCACATTCGTTAGCCAAGTGGCGTACTCTATAACCCTTTGCGGCATGCCAAGACGGCAACCGTTGAATCAAAGAGCACAATGGCCATAGGGCCATTCTTTGTTCCGACCGTGATGATGGTTCCTTTCCAGATAATGCAGCCTGATGAGCAAACGACGATGCTGTACCAGGGCGACCTACAAAGACGACAGCATCACCTTTTCTCAGAAATGTCAAAAGTTGTTCGCCATGACCCTGCTATCTCTATGCCCATCAAGTGACGTCTCATTTTGATTTTGATACCCAAGGTCCAACATGTCAACCTCAACAGCCGAAAAGGCGGACCCAGACCACCCGCAGCCACCATTCCAACTCATCAAGCAAGTCGAAAAAAACATCTGGATCACCCGCCGCAATGCCCAGCACGGAGGCTACGCCGACGGCGAAGAGTTCATCGCGCGCAAAGTAGACGACTTTGACGAATACTACGACGCCGGGAAATACTCCATGAGCTTCACCACCACGAAACAGCGCCAGATCAAGGGCCTCATGGACCTCCTCTACACGCACAACATGGGCCGCACCGTCTCCCACATCCTCAACCACGAGAACCTCATCTCCCTCGCGGGATACCTCCGCCAACAACCCGTCGACCCGCGCTCCCAACAGCAGGCCACGGAGGATTATTTGGTCTGGGATATCTGCGACGCCGGCACGCTTGAGATTCTCTTTGCGGACCACCGGCACGCGGAGCACGAGCCGGGGTGTTTCCTGCCCGAGTCGCTCTGCTGGCACGTTCTTACCTCTGTGATACGCACGCTTGTTTGGCTGCATGATGGGTATCGGCAGGAGGTGGACTGGACTACGGGGGAGAAGTCGTGGGCGCAGACGGATACGGAGTGGATGCCGATCCTGCACCGCGGTATCGATGCGCAGTCTATTTTCTTCCAGCATTCGCGGGGGAAGGAGACGTACGGCGTGTGTAAGCTGGGCAAGTTTGGCTCGGCTTTCGTGTCGGGGGTGCCGGCGCGGCGGGAGGGGGCGCAGGAGAGGGAGGAGCCGCTTCCGCATAGCGAAGGGTTTCCGGTTGCGCCGAAGACGGGGCATATGCGGTTGACGGAGATGAGAGGGCAGTGGAAGGAGTATTTGGATACGGGGAGGAAGGTGAGTTACTCCGAACAACTCTGCATACACACATATGGCAGCTTAACTGATATCGGGTCTACAGAACAAACGCCTCTACACGCTCAGCGACGAACACTGGGCCCTCGGCGCCGTCCTCTTCCGCATGATGACCGGCCGGTTCCTGCCCAGCCTCGACGGGTGCCAGACGTGCCAGTGCGTCCACATCCGGCGGTGCGCGAAAATGGGCTGCGTCTACGATACCGAGACGCATAAGGGCAGCCGCGGGTGCTTGCACGAGAGTTTCCCGGGGTGTCGGTGCGTTGTGTCCTCCGGATCGGGGCCGGGTCCGGCGTGTGGTGGGGCCGCTGCGGATGTTCACGTTGACGAGGTGCTGCACCGGTTGGGGTACTCGCAGCACCTGAAGCTTGCGGTGCGGACGTTGTTGGAGTATAACCTCGAGACGCCGGCGGTGGAGACCAAGGGGTTGGCGGATGAGATGGAGAGGTTGTGTAAGGAGTGGAGGTGCGAGACGGAAGAGGGGAGGGAGTATGTTGATGTGTTGGATGATCTTGGGTACCGGTTCATGGTGTTGAATAAGGTTGCTGATGAGGTTAAGTAAGTAGTACGGTAGCAGCTGTCTCTTGTAGGCTGACTTGCGTTTGGGGGTTGTGTTAACCATGTCTAGTGGAGATATATCACCTACTTGGCCTCGAGAGTGTGCTTCTATGAGCTGATGTCGTGATTTCAACGCAGGAACGAGTAGAAGATTCTCAAGCTGGTTGAGTGAGAAAGTTCGCACTGTCCCACCATAGTTCATCCAGTTTATCCATGAATCACACGACTGAATCATGTAGAGCTGTCATGGTGCTTAGTTACCTTGCCTTAGCTGCAGTAGATGCCGAGCACTAACACACAAATTCGCTGCGTGACAGACCTTGGCCGGTACGTACCCTTCAGACGTTTGACAAGCCCCACCTCCACCACTGCTGCCCGAATTTTACTTGGCGCGCGACCTCGAGCACAGAGCACAAGACAAAGCTCCGAGTTCCAGCCTGGCCAAGTTGTCCACCGGTCGGGTGGATCACAACTGAACCTCTGCCACCACCACCATCTGTACCTCTTTGCCCGACATGCACCTTGCTCAGCTTTGAAGCTTTCGGTACTTTTCACGTTCAACAGTCGTGACGATAGACAACGCGCTCTCCCCAACGAAGCAAAAGCACCCCACCAAAATCCAAACGAAGAAACCGGCATCGGACCACATCTCACCTCTCCCGAACACCGGGACCGCGATATCTACAACCTCACAACCACACCCGCGAACACAATCCAACAACAACAACAAACATGTCCCTAACCCAACCAACGCCCCTCCTCCTAACAAAACGCCTAACTTCCTTCCTCGCCTCAAACCTAAACACCAACCTCCACACAGCCCTCCTCGCAACCCCCTCAGGCCGCCTCCTCGCCCACGCCTCCCCGCAGCCCGTCTCCCTCCTCCGCACCCAATCCACCGTCGCATCCTCCCTCTTTGCCCTCCACGCCTCCGCGACGCCCGACATCCCCGACGCGCTTCCCTCTTCATCTTCGTCGCCGCCGACGTCGGCGGGTGCTGCAGGGACCACAACCACAGAAGATGGAGCATACGGAGGAATCGGGGGAGCAGGTGGGAAACCCCTCACGATAACAGTCCAACTCGCTGCCGGTGTAGTCGTTATCAGGAGACTAAAGTGCGGGTTGCTATTTGTCTGTATCGGGCCCCTCGCCGAGAACATCGAAGCTCAACAACCTTCTTCTACCGACCAACACCACTCCCTCGCGAACACGAATGCAAACGGCGGCGCGGGCACAGGCACGCCCTCCCAGATCCCCGCGTCCCCCTCGGAGGCAGATAGCATCCTCAGCCTCGGCGCGCAGACGACGACGTCCCTCGCCAGCGTCGGGAGCGTGAATACCGCGGGTGTCGTGGTTCTGCGGCGGCATGCGGAGGAGCTGGCGAGGTGGTTGGATGATAAGCTTGGGAGTTTGCGGGTTCCCGAGGAGGGTGTTGGTGTGGAATGAAGCTGTTGTGTCGACGTTTTTGCCTCTTTTTATTTTTTTTGTCTCGAGTAGGAATCAACGGGGAAGCTGTATGAGTAGGGGGGTTCTGAATTTTAGAAGGATAAGTTGAGGTTGCATGGGATTTTCACATTGAATTATCAGCAGGGGACGAAAGGGCTGGAGGCATTTCAGGCGTATACGGGCGTTTCGGGGGAAGATACCACCGGCCGAGAATTCACTAACCATTCATCTTCGTAAATCACTCTGGCATGTACAAATATCTTGCTCATTAAGGATTTCTATTTCATTTGCAAGTAGCATGTGTGCTTGTGTGCGTGTGGTGCCGAAGCTCGGCCTCTATGGGATATACTGATTTGCTCCTTGCTCCTTGTGCATGACCTCCCAAAACTCGTTCGCCTTGATAACCCACCCATTCTCGCCGGTATTTTGTTTCCACGCAAACTGTCCTATCCCAACGCCCAAGAAATGCTGACTGCGCCAAATCCCCCCCCAAAGACAAACCCCAAAAATATCACTCGATGCTCATACGCATCAGACCGTCGTTGGTATCAACCATGCCCTGAAACCCAACGCGTCCTTTGTTCCCGTTCACCACCCGTCCGTTGGCGTTGGCGCCGCTGCCGGGCGTGCCGCCTCCAAGGCTACCCGACTCGCTCGGCGCGCCACTGCCGCCCCTATCGCCGCTGTTGCTGCCGGGCCGCGACCCCCAGGGCGCCACGTCGCGTTGCATGGGGCTCTGCATGATGGGCGAGTTGTGCACGCTCATGCCTGGACTCACGGCCCGGCGCTTGAGGCTGACGGGGTCGTAGTCGTCCTCCCGCCGGCGCTTGCTGTTGATCCGCCGTGTGATTTCTGCTGCACTGGGTGTCGCTTGCGGGCCCTGCGCGAGGAGAGGAGTGTCCCCCTTTTGAGACTCGCCGCTGCTTGCGGCCATAGCGAAGCCGGCTGTAGGACCGAGTGAAGGAGAGTCCATGCAAATGTCCTCGCTCATTCCTGACGATGAGCCGCGAGGGAGTCCTCCGTTAGGTGGAGGCGGTGTTGTGCGAGCGCCGCCGATACTGCTAGACTCGGAAAACGTGTCCCAGAACTTGGTGCCCTTTGAGTTCTTCAAGGCTTGTTGCTTAAAACTGCCCGAGAGATTAAGGGCCGAGTCGGTGATCATGCTTTCCGGTATGTCATCCAGGGACTGGTCTTGGTTCCCTAGGTTCGGTGACGAGTGGGTAGTAGCGGGAGGAGCAGTCTGTTGCCGAGGTGCTCCGAGATCGACGTCGCTTTCTCGCACTTGACGGACGACTTCGGCCTCTCTTTGGGTTTCCGTCTCAACTGGCGCACCTTCCTCGAACAATGCCGCCCTGATACGAGCAAAGTTCTTCGTCTTGGGTAGGAGGTTTCTTCGCTGTGTGACCACCCGCCGCATGACTGTAGGGCGCTGCCCGTCGCGACTGGGAGTCGAGAGTAGTCCGTCGATATTATCACCTCGCTCCTCCTCGCTCCCAGAGATATGTAACTGATTGGCCTGCCAGCTGATGCTCTCCCTCCGGGACTGCGCCGACATATCCTTGGGCACGTTGTTTGGCGGCGACTTTGAGACACCGGCATTTGTGCTGGGACTGAATCCGAGACCTAGTGGCAGTTTGTGTTTCTTTTTTGGCTGTTTCCTCTGGCGCTGCCTATGCTGGAAGCTCATCAGACTGTTCATTGCCGGAGAGCCTCCCCAGGGCGCCATCATAGGTTGTGTACCCAAGGGTGCGGCGGTTTTGTTGGCTTGTGGTGTACCAATGTACGGCTCGTCCATATCCTCATCCATAAGGTCATCGTCGTCGGAGTCGGAAGAAGAGTCTGACCCAATCTGATTCGCGCTGCCCAGGGAGCTCGACACCGTCATGCGCTCGTGGTTGCCCATCATGGACCACAACGAGTTGGTGGTCTGCTCGGCCTGTCCGTAGTCGTTGCTCCTGCGCCCCGGGATATTCATGCCCCTTCCTCCGATTGTAGGCGAGGAGTCGGGCGAGGACTCGGCGAGTGTTGAGTGGTGCAGGCTGGTGGCAGCGCGTGAGAAGTCGAGGCCGCGGGAGCGACGGGGTAGGATATTTGTCGGGCTCGCATAGATCTGCGAGTGGTCGAGCTTCGGTGATAGCGGCGCGGGCTTCGTAAGTGCGGTGGACGAGTTGGATGCAGGGGAGGCAGGGTCGCGGTTCGCGGGCATCTGCAGCGAGAGGCCGCGGAGGGGAAATTCGGTTCGGTGAGGGGTTACGGGCGTGGTGGCCGTGTCTCTGATGTGGTTATCGTCCTTGGATGCCTGGCGACCATCCGCAATGTGCGGTGAAGGAGTGAGCTTGGAAGGAGTTCCTCCTCCGTCAGACATGGAGCGCGTCTTGGACAAGGGCGAGCGGCCCAGGCGTTGTGGAGTATTGAGGGCGTTTACGGGGACGTCGGCGTCCTTATCGTCGTCCACGATGGCAGACTCAAAGTCCATATCCCTCAGATCCATGGTTCTATCCATGGCGGGCGGCAGCGAGGTTTGAAACTGTCGAGGTAGTCGAGAGAGCTAGATTCACGGACCGATCTAGGATTTATTGTAGTATAAGTGACGCTGCAAGTTCGATAACGTAAATAGTGGGTAGTGGACCGGGTGGTTTGGGTCCAGTCGTCGTTTGGGGGCTGGTTCTGGCGGGGATCGCGATTAAGGCTTTGGCGATGTCATTGAGATATTGGCTGTAACATGCGGGCTTGCAAATGGCATTGTTGGATGTCGCAAGACCATTTGAAGCGCTCTTTGTATGTTTGATATCGACGAAACGGAGATTCGTGTAGAAGTGATAGTTCAAGCAGCCACCTCTCAAGGTTGTTGTAGATGGGTCGAGGTTGAATTGGAGTTTGGTTGGCGAACGCGGGTAGGCGGGCAGTGCAGCGGTAGCGGGCAAGCGGGCAGACATTGGAGTTTTGGAGAGGTCAAAGTACCTTACCACTTCGTACACTACCTGAGGTACGGATACCGTAGGATAACCTTTCCGGTTGGATGCGGCCAGGGTTGGAAATTGAATAGGCGCCATGGACAGCGAACCGTGTTGAAGCGTCCGAGGCTCATTTGCAGGCTTCCCCTTGCGGGGGAATCAGAGGTATCATCGCACCCAATTTTGCTGCAGCTGGTACCTTGCCGTTTTACTTCAAGCACTGCCCATTTGTTTCGTCGATCCACAACGGCATTTCCATTTCCATTCCCATTCCCATTCTCATTCACAACACACATTCCCGTCAGTCGCTCACTCAACCACTCACTCAAACTAGTGTTCTCTGGCTCCCACCTGCACTTCCCCACACCAGTCCCGAACCGAAACGCAGCGGGGGACGAAAGGCTTAAAATAGCAGAGACCTTGCTTGGTCTTTGCTCACTTCTGTCAGCCCTAGGTTCTGTCGATTTCTGTGATGGTTGGGTGTTTAATGGGCGATGAGCCGCTTGTGTGTCTGGTCACACTTCAGGGCCTATCACCTTTCAGCCGAGGTGGAATTTAGGGCCATGTTTCAAGGCAGAAAGAGGACAGCAACCTTTTCCCGACGTCTGGCTCGGACGTGAAAAGAAGCTATTCAGCGATTACGCAAACTTGTCAGAGTGGTGGCAGATGATTGACAGATGAGTGACAGAACAATCTGCTCAACACATCCTGAGTTTCTATTTCTGCCTTTCTTAGTACCATTGTCACTTTACTACTCTTGCTAGCTGCTTCTAAGACTGGGATAGCTCACTCCAAGCATCCTAGTAAGATGATGAGAAGGATAGCAATGCTTGCATAAGAAATGGGACTAATCACTTATTGATCCAGGGCTACATGGAAGAACGTTCTCTATGAAGCATATCTCGCCGAAAGTGCCTGCGAGACCGCTAATTCATATGGCAATGCAGATGCTTACTTACCACAACGGTCTGCTCGGTGACTTCTGAACTTGGCGGGAGGTCATTCGGAAATCCCGACCGCGACGAATTATCAAGCACTCGCCAAAGTTTTCTCACAAATCCTGATCAGGTTATTCTAGGTACGCGCGCTGATCTTGTCTTTGAATTATTCGGGGAGACTTCGTCGCAGGGTGTCTGAGGTAGGTATCCTCATTTCTGATGAGAGAAAGGGCGCAGAATGGCCTGAGCCAATCAGAGCCCACCACCCCAACGACCCTTTGACTTACACACATTTTGGGAGGAATTCATGGGTCATGTCCAACTCCTGCTTCTTTCTCATTACAAAAGGCACATATTAACGTAATTGGATCAATCAATCAATGTCCTTGTTATTATAGGCCTTTCCCCCCTGGTCTTGCCCAAACCAGGTAAACGAAGAAAACCCCTAACCCACGCACAACGGTGAACACTGCTTACAAAAAGAATGCCAAATTCACACCTCCCCAAAACACCAAAGCCCAAACAATGTCAACAAGCAATACCGCCGCGGCGGTTTAGACCCACCACTACTCTGCTGAAAGGGCCAATCCATCCAGCCCCCAGGCTCCTGATACTATACCACTATAGGCCGGGGCAGCCTCCGCCTGCTGCTGCTAGTGCGAGTAAGCGCAGGGGCAGCACGACTACCAGTCGTCATGGCAGTATTCGTATCCGGGAATGGAATACGTGAGTTGGACCGAGGGCGGCCGCGGGGAGGAGATTGAGGGCGGTAGAGAGGGCCTGCTGGGAGGGGAGGGTCTGGTTGGCCCGGGCGGCGAAGGTTGAATAGGTCCCCTTAGGGGGTTGATGATGGGTAGGCAACAACGGCTGCTTCTGTCCTGCCATTGTGATTGTTGTATGTGACGGACTGTTTGTGGAATAGGAGAGAAGACGTCAAAAACGAGAAGTAGAATTAGCTTTTGGAATGGTTGCTGGCTTGCAGAGAAGAGGTTTTGGTGACACAACGCGGGGCATACTAGGGTTCTTGTAGACTGGCTGTTGTTGAGATGAGCTCGGATACCTCTTGCCTACTTGGAATAGCGGGGCATCGTACTTACCTTATCAGGAG